CTGTTCATCATTCAATGGCTCAAACGCACTGCTCTCTCGGCAAAAGCGAAAGGAGGAGCAACTTGCCATTTGGATATATCTTAGCTGTGTTTGTGCCCTCACTCATGGTCCAGACTTTTTTCAAATAGGACATGGAGTTTTTCTGCAGCGAGCGTTTTGGTAGAAACTGCGCCTCCCGTTCATTATAATGGTAAATGACCACAAACAAGTGCGCACACCATCTTTGGACCTTGAGTGTGACGCGATTGGGTGGGGGAGGCGGTCGCGCTGGGGGCGGCGTGACACGGCTCGGGCCCGCCAGTGCCCCAACGGGGCCCTAGTTCTTTCTTTCTTCTTTTTCCTCCCCTTTGAACTGGAAAATGGCCCACTTCCCACTGGCGAAAACTCAGGAAATTTGGCAGGACGACCGGGCCTGGTGAAAAATTCGATATTCTGAAGTCGCCCAAACAATAAAATGCAAAATGGCTCCATAGCGCCCCCTAAGGTGGAAATTCACACTATTGACTGTCACGCCTGTACGCTTTGTCATATTGACACAAAAATTGACACACATATGTATCTCAATAAGATCTACAAAAAAGTCAGTGCGGCCGTATCTGTCAAATGTACGGTTAAAGGGTTATTTCGCATTTTTTTCCGATCCGCACACATTGGAATTTCGCTAACTCCTCCGAAGGCTTTCGTTCCACCGGCACCACATTTGCTCAGGCCAATCTACACCCCGTGGCCATTAAAAGTTATCAAAATCATGACGCTGCACCCCAAGGTTTAGGTTCTAGGGGGCGCCAAAGATAACACTAAAATCCACATATTTAAAAGTCTTATAACTTTTTATTTTTGTCCTCACTGGCCTCCAAGTTTTCTAGGATGATGCAATGTCCAGCCATCAACACATTTGTGAAGGAATTTTTACTCCCCAAAAGAGCGCCCCCCCATGGCAGGAGAAAAAAGTCCATTTTTTCTTGTCCCCTAAGGTGAAAATACACATTGTTGAGTGTCACGCCTATACGCTTTGTCAAAATGACACAAAAATTGACACACACATGTAACTCAATAAGATCTACAAAAAAGTCCATGCGCGCGTATCTGTCAAATGTACAGTTAAAGGGTTATTCCGCATTTTTTGCCGATACGCACACATTGGAATTTCGCTAACTCCTCCGAAGGCTTTCTGTCCACCGGCACCACATTTGCTCAGGCCAATCTACACCCCATGGCCATTAAAAGTTATTCAAATCATGATGCTGCACCCCATGGTTTAGGTTCTAGGGGGCGCCAAAAATAACCCAAAAATCCACATTCTTAAATGTTTTATAACTTTTTATTTTTGTCCTCACTGGCCTCCAAGTTTTCTAGGATGATGCAATGTCCAGCCATCAACACATTTGTGAAGGAATTTTTACTCCCCAAAAGAGCGCCCCCCATGGTAGGAGAAAAAAGTCCATTTTTTCTTGTCCCCTTACATAAAAATACACATTGTTGAGTGTCACGCCTGAACGCTTTGTCATATTGACACAAAAATTGACAATCATGTGTATCTCAATTAGATCTACGAAAAAGTCAAAGAGCGCGTATCTGTATAATGTACGGTTAAAGGGCTATTTTGCATTTTTTGCCGATTCGCACACATTGGAATGTGGCTATCTCCTCCTAAGGCTTTCGTCCCACCGATACCAAATTTGCTCAGGGCAATCTACACCCCATGCCCATTCAAAGTTGTAAAAATCATGACGCTGCACCCCACGGTTTACGTTCTAGGGGGCGCCAAAGATGACCCAAAAATCCACATTCTTAAAAGTCATTTTGGCCACTGCAGGAGTACAGAGTACTGCAGTTCTAGGGGGCGCCAAAGATGACCCAAAAATCCACATTCTTAAAAGTCTTTTTGGCCACTGCAGGAGTACAGAGTACTGCAGGATACACACACATATACACACACGCCAACATACACACACACACACACACACACACACACACACACACACACACACACACACACACACACTCAGAGTCTGTTTTTTAGCACCTGCAAAAACATGCTATTTACATATTTGACAAGAATGCAGAGGCTCCTTTTGCCCCTGAAAAAAATCAAATTTCAAACACAACTTGACTGTTCATTTCTCCAAAAGACAACCATGAAGCTCCATCCAAACCTGAAGCAGATAGTTGGTGCATGTGTACAGTAACCTGAGGGGAGTGAGGTGACTATTTCTGAGGAGAACATGAGCAGTGAAGATTCACCTTGGAGCTAGAACAGGGACGTGCACATGATTATACAGGGGCAGGGGCTCAAGTTTTTTCCAGTCATTTATACAATATGGAAATTAATGTGAAATTAAACCACAAATATGTGTGATGAACTGTTTTTAAAACTTAAACTTCAAATAAAAATTGTAAACTTCAAAACATATGCAAATTTTTAACAAAGAACATAGTAATTTACCTCTATTTACATCAAAATGCAGGCAATGGCCCAGGCGTTCTTTGTAAAATAATTTACAAAACACTGTATAGTCTCACAAATGTCACTTTTTATTTATGCCACTACAAAAAAACATGATGTAAATGATGCATGATGTAAAACATGATGTAAAAAACTTGTGTAGATCCTCCTCTATGTCAGTCCATGTGTAATTTTTTCATAATTCTTTGTTTTTTGCAGCATTTCTGTTAGTGTAACTGCAGATTGTGCTGACAGTGTCTATGGCAAAAAAAAAAAAAAAAAAAATTAAAATGCCTCAACATGAACCTCTGGTGGTCTCTGAGGGTGAAACCTGCTAACTGCTGCAGCTCTGTCAGCTTCAGTCTCCCATGCAGAGCTCGGAGCGCATGTGTGGCTCTGCACCCTTAGCAGCGTTGCTAACTCCTCAGTAAGGAAAGCCTGCTCTATGTCAGAGTCTCTAAACTCCAGAAGAAGTCGATAAAAGTCCCTTTCTTTCTAAAAAAAAGTCGTTAGGGGGTCTGAAAAGTCATTGAATCTAACAACAAAGTCGCTAGGTTTGCAACTACGTGTCCCAGACTGCATCCCTGCTGAGAGTCCCTCCCTCCCTTCTCATGTTGCAGGAAGAACGTAAGCGCCCGCCCCTTGTCAATCAGTCACCATATAATTTTGGATTGGTTGTTGTGGTGAAGTTTTCCACCAATAGGAGAGATGTTGTGGTGTGTTTTTTTTTTTCTTTTGGCAAGCCTTTTCCGCCTGTAAGAGCTGTTGCTAATGTCTGCATGCTATGTTTTCCTGTCTCATACAGCGCGATCGAGCGCCGAACGTGATCAAAAGAAGCAGAAAAAAAAGTATCGCGGACATAATTTATCATAACTCTGGTTTTATTTGGCCTATCAACACAATTTAAAAACTGGTATATAGGTTGAGGTCCTCACTTTTGAGATAAGTTGAAACGGAGAGTCAACGAGGCTCCGTCTTGCAGCTACATCCGGTTAAATATGTCATGTGACTTGAACGCACACACACACACACAGACACACACACGCACACACACACACACATACACAGTCAGAGTCTGGTTTTTAGCACCTGCAAAAACATGCTATTTACATATTTGACAAGAATGCAGAGGCTCCTTTTGCCCCTGAAAAAAATCAAATTTCAAACACAACTTGACTGGTCATTTCTCCAAAAGACAACCATGAAGCTCCATCCAAACCTGAAGCAGGCAGTTGGTGCATGTGTACAGTAACCTGAGGGGAGTGAGGTGACTGCTTCTGAGGAGAACATGAGCAGTGAAGATTCACCTTGGAGCGAGAACAGGGACGTGCACATGATTATACAGGGGCAGGGGCTCAAGTTTTTTCCAGTTGTTTATACAATATGGAAATTAATGTGAAATTAAAAAACAAAGTATTAATAGAAAGGTAATGACTGTCCTGTGTAGGTGACAGTGATATCCAATAGGCTAGGCACTCACGAGGCTGGCTGTGGCAAGTGTAAGTGAAAGCAACACGCACTGGCAGGAAGAACAGCAAACGCCGATGAAGGAAAAGGGTCTTTGCAGTGATGGGCGTTACCAGAGAGGACGATGGCCAGAGGATGCGAATGGGATGGGGAGGCAGCGCGTTGGGGGGGGGGGGGGGGCGCGACACAGCTCGGGCCCGCCAGTGCCCCAACGGGGCCCTAGTATTATTATTTTTCCTCCGCTTTAAACTGGAAAATGGCCCACTTCCCACTGGCGAAAACTCAGGAAATTTGGCAGGACGACCGGGCCTGGTGAAAAATTCGATATTCTGAAGTCGCCCAAACAATAAAATGCAAAATGGCTCCATAGCGCCCCCTAAGGTGAAAATTCACACTATTGACTGTCACGCCTGTACGCTTTGTCATATTGACACAAAAATTGACACACACATGTATCTCAATAAGATCTACAAAAAAGTCAGTGTGGGCGTATCTGTCAAATGTACGGTTAAAGGGTTATTTTGCATTTTTTGCAGATCCGCACACATTGGAATTTCGCTAACTCCTCCGAAGGCTTTCGTTCCACCGGCACCACATTTGCTCAGGCCAATCTACACTCCATGGCCATTCAAAGTTGTACAAATCATAATGCTGCACCCCATGGTTTAGGTTCTAGGGGGCGCCAAAAATAACCCAAAAATCCACATTCTTAAAAGTTTTATAATTTTTTTTTTGTCCTCACTGGCCTCCAAGTTTTCTAGGATGATGCAATGTCCAGCCATCAACACATTTGTGAAGGAATTTTTACTCCCCAAAAGAGCGCCCCCCCATGGCAGGACAAAAAAGTCCATTTTTTCTTGTCCCCTAAGGTGAAAATACACATTGTTGAGTGTCACGCCTGTACGCTTTGTCGTATTGACAAAAAATTTGACACACACGTGTATCTCAATAAGATCTACGAAAAAGTCAATGGGCGCGTATCTGTAAAATGTACGGCTAAAGGGCTATTTTGCATTTTTTGCCGATTCGCACACATTGGAATGTGGCTAACTCCTCCTAAGGCTTTCGTCCCACTGACACCAAATTTGCTCAGGCCAATCTACACCCCATGGCCATTCAAAGTTGTAAAAATCATGCCGCTGCACCCCATGGTTTACGTTCTAGGGGGCGCCAAAGATGACCCAAATATCCACATTCTTAAAAGTCGTTTTGGCCACTGCAGGAGTACAGAGTACTGCAGGATACACACACACAGACACACACACACACAGACACACACACACACACACACACACACTCAGAGTCTGTTTTTTAGCACCTGCAAAAACATGCTATTTACATATTTGACAACAATGCAGAGGCTTCCTTTTGCCCCTGAAAAAAATCAAATTTCTAACACAACTTGACTGCTCATTTCTCCAAAAGACAACCATGAAGCTCCATCCAAACCTGAAGCAGGCAGTTGGTGCATGTGTACAGTAACCTGAGGGGAGTGAGGTGACTGCTTCTGAGGAGAACATGAGCAGTGAAGATTCACCTTGGAGCGAGAACAGGGACGTGCACATGATTATACAGGGGCAGGGGCTCAAGTTTTTTCCAGTCGTTTATACAATATGGAAATTAATGTGAAATTAAAAAACAAAGTATTAATAGAAAGGTAATGACTGTCCTGTGTAGGTGACAGTGATATCCAATAGGCTAGGCACTCACGAGGCTGGCTGTGGCAAGTGTAAGTGAAAGCAACACGCACTGGCAGGAAGAACAGCAAACGCCGATGAAGGAAAAGGGTCTTTGCAGTGATGGGCGTTACCAGAGAGGACGATGGCCAGAGGACGCGAATGGGACGGGGAGGCAGCGCGTTGGGGGGGGGGGGGGGGGTGGCGACACAGCTCGGGCCCGCCAGTGCCCCAACGGGGCCCTAGTTTGTTATTATTATTATTTTTCCTCCGCTTTAAACTGGAAAATGGCCCACTTCCCACTGGCGAAAACTCATGAAAATTGGCAGGACGACCGGGCCTGGTGAAAAATTCGATATTCTGAAGTCGCCCAAACAAGAAAATGCAAAATGGCTCAATAGCGCCCCCAAAGGTGAAAATTCACACTATTGACTGTCACGCCTATACGCTTTGTCATATTGACACAAAAATTGACACACACATGTATCTCAATAAGATCTACAAAAAAGTCAGTGCGGGCGTATCTGTCAAATGTACGGTTAAAGGGTTATTTCGCATTTTTTGCCGTTCCGCACACATTGGAATTTCGCTAACTCCTCCGAAGGCTTTCGTTCCACCGGCACTACATTTGCTCAGGCCAATCTACACCCCATGGCCATTGAAAGTTGTACAAATCATGACGCTGCACCCCACGGTTTACGTTCTAGAGGGCGCCAAAGATGACCCAAATATCCACATTTTTAAAAGTCTTATAACTTTTTATTTTTGTCCTCACTGGCCTCCAAGTTTTCTAGGATGATGCAATGTCCAGCCATCAACACATTTGTGAAGGAATTTTTACTCCCCAAAAGAGCGCCCCCCCCATGGCAGGAGAAAAAAGTCCATTTTTTCTTGTCCCATAAGGTGAAAATTCACATTGTTGAGTGTGACACCTGTACGCTTTGTCATATTGACACAAAATTTGACAATCACGTGTATCTCAATAAGATCTACGAAAAAGTCAATGGGTGCGTATCTGTCAAATGTACGGTTAGAGGGCTATTTTGCATTTTTTGCTGATTCGCACACATTGGAATGTGGCTAACTCCTCCTAAGGCTTTCGTCCCAGTGAAACCAAATTTGCTCAGGCCAATCTACACCCCATGGCCATTCAAAGTTGTAAAAATCATGACGCTGCACCCCACGGTTTACGTTCTAGGGGGCGCCAAAGAGGACCCTAAAATCCACATATTTCAAAGTCTTATAACTTTTTATTTTTGTCCTCACTGGCCTCCAAGTTTTCTAGGATGATGCAATGTCCAGCCATCAACACATTTGTGAAGGAATTTTTACTCGCCAAAAGAGCGCCCCCCCATGGCAGGAGAAAAAAGTCCATTTTTTCTTGTCTCCTAAGGCGAAAATACACATTGTTGACTGTCACGCCTTTACGCTTTGTCAAAATGACACAAAATTTGACACACACATGTATCTCAATAAGATCTACGAAAAAGTCATTGCGAGCGTATCTGTTCAATGTACGGTTAAAGGGCTATTTAGGGCCCGAGCCAGCTGCAGAGCAGCCGGGCGTAGGCCCTATTATTCCCCAAGTGGTTTTTCTTTGTTTCTTTCTTTCTTTCTTTCTTTCTTCTTTTTCCTCCCCTTTGAACTGGAAAATGGCCCACTTCCCACTGGCGAAAACTCATGAAATTTGGCAGGACGACCGGGCCTGGTGAAAAATTCGATATTCTGAAGTCGCCCAAACAATAAAATGCAAAATGGCTCCATAGCGCCCCCTAAGGTGGAAATTCACACTATTGATTGTCACGCCTGTACGCTTTGTCATATTGACACAAAAATTGACACACATATGTATCTCAATAAGATCTACAAAAAAGTCAGTGCGGCCGTATCTGTCAAAATTACGGTTAAAGGGTTATTTCGCATTTTTTGCCGATCCGCACACATTGGAATTTTGCTAACTCCTCCGAAGGCTTTCGTTCCACCGGCACCACATTTGCTCAGGCCAATCTACACCCCGTGGCCATTAAAAGTTATCAAAATCATGACGCTGCACCCCAAGGTTTAGGTTCTAGGGGGCGCCAAAGATAACACTAAAATCCACATATTTAAAAGTCTTATAACTTTTTATTTTTGTCCTCACTGGCCTCCAAGTTTTCTAGGATGATGCAATGTCCAGCCATCAACACATTTGTGAAGGAATTTTTACTCCCCAAAAGAGCGCCCCCCCATGGCAGGAGAAAAAAGTCCATTTTTTCTTGTCCCCTAAGGTGAAAATACACATTGTTGAGTGTCACGCCTATACGCTTTGTCAAAATGACACAAAAATTGACACACACATGTAACTCAATAAGATCTACGAAAAAGTCAATGCGTGCGTATCTGTCAAATGTACGGTTAAAGGGTTATTTCGCATTTTTTGCCGATCCGCACACTTTGGAATTTCGCTAACTCCTCCGAAGGCTTTTGTTCCACCGGCACCACATTTGCTCAGGCCAATCTACACCCCGTGGCCATTAAAAGTTATCAAAATCATGACGCTGCACCCCAAGGTTTAGGTTCTAGGGGGCGCCAAAGATAACCCTAAAATCCACATATTTAAAAGTCTTATAACTTTTTATTTTTGTCCTCACTGGCCTCCAAGTTTTCTAGGATGATGCAATGTCCAGCCATCAACACATTTGTGAAGGAATTTTTACTCCCCAAAAGAGCGCCCCCCCATGGCAGGAGAAAAAAGTCCATTTTTTCTTGTCCCCTAAGGTGAAAATACACATTGTTGATTGTCACGCCTATACGCTTTGTCAAAATGACACAAAAATTGACACACACATGTAACTCAATAAGATCTACGAAAAAGTCAATGCGTGCGTATCTGTCAAATGTACGGTTAAAGGGTTATTTCGCATTTTTTGCCGATCCGCACACATTGGAATTTCGCTAACTCCTCCGAAGGCTTTCGTTCCACCGGCACCACATTTGCTCAGGCCAATCTACACCGCGTGGCCATTAAAAGTTATCAAAATCATGACGCTGCACCCCAAGGTTTAGGTTCTAGGGGGCGCCAAAGATAACACTAAAATCCACATATTTAAAAGTCTTATAACTTTTTATTTTTGTCCTCACTGGCCTCCAAGTTTTCTAGGATGATGCAATGTCCAGCCATCAACACATTTGTGAAGGAATTTTTACTCCCCAAAAGAGCGCCCCCCCATGGCAGGAGAAAAAAGTCCATTTTTTCTTGTCCCCTAAGGTGAAAATACACATTGTTGAGTGTCACGCCTATACGCTTTGTCAAAATGACACAAAAATTGACACACACATGTAACTCAATAAGATCTACGAAAAAGTCAATGCGCGCGTATCTGTCAAATGTATGGTTAAAGGGTTATTTCGCATTTTTTGCCGATCTGCACACATTGGAATGTGGCTAACTCCTCCTAAGGCTTTCGTTCCACCGGCACCACATTTGCTCAGGCCAATCTACACCCCATGGCCATTAAAAGTTATTCAAATCATGACGCTGCACCCCACGGTTTAGGTTCTAGGGGGCGCCAAAGATAACCCTAAAATCCACATATTTAAAAGTCTTATAACTTTTTATTTTTGTCCTCACTGGCCTCCAAGTTTTCTAGGATGATGCAATGTCCAGCCATCAACACATTTGTGAAGGAATTTTTACTCCCCAAAAGAGCGCCCCCCGATGGCAGGAGAAAAAAGTCCATTTTTTCTTGTCCCCTAAGGTGAAAATACATATTGTTGAGATTCACGCCTATACGCTTTGTCATATTGACACAAAATTTGACAATCACGTGCCTTGCCTGGTATCATTTTTTTCAGCACAACCTCACCTGTGCGAATTTACAGTTATTTTATCATGTTGACATACTGAATTTACACAATGGACCCAAATTCACACACAAAACATAAAATCCGAGTGGAAAAAAGTAACATTTTTACTGTGAAAACCACAAATATGTGTGATGAACTGTTTTTAAAACTTAAACTTCAAATAAAAATTGTAAACTTCAAAACATATGCAAATTTTTAACAAAGAACATAGTGATTTACCTCTATTTACATCAAAATGCAGGCAATGGCCCAGGCGTTCTTTGTAAAATTATTTACAAAACACTGTATAGTCTCACAAATGTCACTTTTTATTTATGCCACTACAAAAAAACATGATGTAAATGATGCATGATGTAAAACATGATGTAAAAAACTTGTGTAGATCCTCCTCTATGTCAGTCCATGTGTAATTTTTCCATAATTCTTTGTTTTTTGCAGCATTTTTGTTAGTGTAACTGCAGATTGTGCTGACAGTGTCTATGGCACAAAAAAAAAAAAATTAAAATGCCTCAACATGAACCCCTGGTGGTCTCTGAGGGTGAAACCTGCTAACTGCTGCAGCTCTGTCAGCTTCAGTCTCCCATGCAGAGCTCTGAGCGCATGTGTGGCTCTGCACCCTTAGCAGCGTTGCTAACTCCTCAGTAAGGAAAGCCTGCTTCATGTCAGAGTCTCTAAACTCCAGAAGAAGTCGATAAAAGTCCCTTTCTTTCTAAAAAAAAGTCGTTAGGGGGTCTGAAAAGTCATTGAATCTAACAACAAAGTCGCTAGGTTTGCAACTACGTGTCCCAGACTGCATCCCTGCTGAGAGTCCCTCCCTCGCTTCTCATGTTGCAGGAAGAACGTAAGCACCCGCCCCTTGTCAATCAGTCACCATATAATTTTGGATTGGTTGTTGTGGTGAAGTTTTCCACCAATAGGAGAGATGTTGTGGTGTGTTTTTTTTTTCTTTTGGCAAGCCTTTTCCGCCTGTAAGACCTGTCGCTAATGTCTGCATGCTATGTTTTCCTGTCTCATACAGCGCGATCGAGCGCCGAACGTGATCAAAATAAGCAGAAAAAAGTATCGCGGACATAATTTATCATAACTCTGGTTTTATTTGGCCTATCAACACAATTTAAAAACTGGTATATAGGTTGAGGTCCTCACTTTTGAGATAAGTTGAAACGGAGAGTCAACGAGGCTCCGTCTTGCAGCTACATCCGGTTAAATATGTCATGTGACTTGAACGCACACACAGACACACACACACGCACACACACACACACACACACACACACACACACACACACACACACACACACACACTCAGAGTCTGGTTTTTAGCACCTGCAAAAACATGCTATTTACATATTTGACAAGAATGCAGAGGCTCCTTTTGCCCCTGAAAAAAATCAAATTTCAAACACAACTTGACTGGTCATTTCTCCAAAAGACAACCATGAAGCTCCATCCAAACCTGAAGCAGGCAGTTGGTGCATGTGTACAGTAACCTGAGGGGAGTGAGGTGAGTGCTTCTGAGGAGAACATGAGCAGTGAAGATTCACCTTGGAGCTAGAACAGAGACATGCACATGATTATACAGGGGCAGGGGCTCAAGTTTTTTCCAGTCGTTTATACAATATGGAAATTAATGTGAAATTAAAACACAAAGTATTAATAGAAAGGTAATGACTGTTCTGTGTAGGTGACAGTGATATCCAATAGGCTAGGCACTCACGAGGCTGGCTGTGGCAAGTGTAAGTGAAAGCAACACGCACTGGCAGGAAGAACAGCAAACGCCGATGAAGGAAAAGGGTCTTTGCAGTGATGGGCGTTACCAGAGAGGGCGATGGCCAGAGGACACAAATGGGACGGGGAGGCAGCACGTTGGGGGGGGGACGCGACACGGCTCGGGCCCGCCAGTGCCCCAACGGGGTCCTAGTTAGGGCCCGAGCGTAGCTGCTAAGCAGCTGCGAGAGCCCTCTTGTTCCTGATGGATTCTTCTTTCGTTATTTTTCCTCCGCTTTAAACTGGAAAATGGCCCACTTCCCACTGGCGAAAACTCAGGAAATTTGGCAGGACGACCGGGCCTGGTGAAAAATTCGATATTCTGAAGTCGCCCAAACAAAAAAATGAAAAATGGCTCCATAGCGCCCCCTATGGTGAAAACTCACCTGACGCCTGTACGCTTTGTCAAAATGACACAAAAATTGACACACATGTGTATCTCAATAAGATCTACAAAAAAGTCAGTGCGGGCGTATCTGTCAAATGTACCGTTAAAGGGCTATTTCGCATTTTTTGCCGATCCGCACACATTGGAATTTCGCTAACTCCTCCGAAGGCTTTCCTTCCACCGGCACCAAATTTGCTCAGGCCAATCTACACCCCATGGCCATTAAAAGTTGTACAAATCATGACGCTGCACCCCACGGTTTAGGTTCTAGGGGGCGCCAAAGATAACCCAAAAAGCCACATTCTTAAAAGTCTTATAACTTTTTATTTTTGTCCTCACTGGCCCCCAAGTTTTCTAGGATGATGCAATGTCCAGCCATCAACACATTTGTGAAGAAATTTTTACTCCCCAAAAGAGCGCCCCCCCATGGCAGTAGAAAAAAGTCCATTTTTTCTTGTCCCCTAAGGTGAAAATACACATTGTTGAGTGTCACGCCTAAACGCTTTGTCATATTGACACAAAATTTGACAATCACGTGTATCTCAATAAGATCTACGAAAAAGTCAAAGAGCGCGTATCTGTATAATGTACGGTAAAAGGGCTATTTTGCATTTTTTGCCGATCCGCACACATTGGAATTTCACTAACTCCTCCGAAGGCTTTCATTCCACCGACACCAAATTTGCTCAGGCCAATCTACACCCCATGGCCATTAAAAGTTGTACAAATCATGATGCTGCACCCCACGGTTTACGTTCTAGGGGGCGCCAAAGATGACCCAAATATCCACATTCTTAAAAGTCTTATAACTTTTTATTTTTGTCCTCACTGGCCTCCAAGTTTTCTTGGACGATGCAATGTCCAGCCATCAACACATTTGTGAAGGAATTTTTACTCCCCAAAAGAGCGCCCCCCCATGGCAGGAGAAAAAAGTCCATTTTTTCTTGTCCCCTAAGGTGAAAATACGCACTGTTGAGTGTCACGCCTGTACGCTTTGTCAAAATGACACAAAAATTGACACACACATGTATCTCAATAAGATCTACGAAAAAGTCAATGCACGCGTATCTGTCAAATGTACGGTTAAAGGGTTATTCCGCATTTTTTGCTGATCCGCACACATTGGAATGTGGCTAACTCCTCTGAAGGCTTTCGTTCCATCGGCACCAAATTTGCTCAGGCCAATCTACACCCCATGGCCATTAAAAGTTATTCAAATCATGACGCTGCACCCCACGGTTTACGTTCTAGGGGGCGCCAAAGATGACACAAATATCCACATATTTAAAAGTCTTATAACTTTTTATTTTCGTCCTCACTGGCCTCCAAGTTTTCTAGGATGATGCAATGTCCAAATATCCACATTCTTAAAAGAATCTACATCCCCCCCCCCCCCCATCCCCCAAGTTTTTCCTGCCCATCACTCAATGGCTCAATCGCATCGCTCTCCCGGCAACACCGTAATGAGGAGCAACTTGCCGTTTGGATATATCCTAGCTGTGTTTGTGCCCTCACTCATGGTCCAGACTTTTTTCAAATAGGACATGTAGTTTGTCTGCAGCGAGTGTTTTGGTAGAAACTGCGCCTCCCATTCATTATAATGGGAAATGACCACAGACAAGTGCGCACACCATCTTTGGACCTTGAGTGTGACGCGATCGGGAGGGGGAGGCGGTCGCGCTGGGGGCGGCTCGACGCGGCTCGGGCCCGACAGTGCCCCACCGGGGCCCTAGTTATTATTTTTCCTCCGCTTTAAACTGGAAAATGGCCCACTTCCCACTGGCGAAAACTCAGGAAATTTGGCAGGACGACCGGGCCTGGTGAAAAATTCGATATTCTGAAGTCGCCCAAACAATAAAATGCAAAATGGCTCCATAGCGCCCCCTAAGGTGAAAATTCACATGACGGCTGTACGCTTTGTCATATTGACACAAAAATTGACACACACATGTATCTCAATAAGATCTACAAAAAAGTCAGTGCGGGCGTATCTGTCAAATGTACGGTTAATGGGTTATTTTGCATTTTTTGCAGATCTGCACACATTGGAATTTCGCTAACTCCTCCGAAGGCTTTCGTTCGACCGGCACCACATTTGCGCAGGCCAATCTACCCCCCATGGCCATTAAAAGTTGTACAAATCATGACGCTGCACCCCACGGTTTACGTTCTAGGGGGCGCCAAAGATAACCCAAAATCCACATTCTTAAAAGTCTTATAACTTTTTATTTTTGTCCTCACTGCCCTCCAAGTTTTCTAGGATGATGCAATGTCCAGCCATCAACACATTTGTGAAGGAATTTTTACTCCCCAAAAGAGCGCCCCCCAATGGCAGGAGAAAAAGGTCCATTTTTTCTTGTCTCCAAAGGTCAAAATACACATTGTCGAGTGTCACGCCTGTATGCTTTGTCATATTGACACAAAATTTGACACACACATGTATCTCAATAAGATCTACGAAAAAGTCAGTGCGGGCGTATCTGTCAAATGTACCGTTAAAGGGTTATTTCGCATTTTTTGCCGATCCGCACACATTGGAATTTCGCTAACTCCTCCGAAGGCTTTCGTTCCAACGGCACCACATTTGCTCAGGCCAATCTACACCCCATGGCCATTAAAAGTTGTACAAATCATGACGCTGCACCCCACGGTTTACGTTCTAGGGGGCGCCAAAGATAACCCAAAAATCCACAGTCTTAAAAGTCTTATAACTTTTTATTTTTGTCCTCACTGGCCTCCAAGTTCTCTAGGATGATGCAATGTCCAGCCATCAACACATTTGTGAAGGAATTTTTACTCCCCAAAAGAGCGCCCCCCAATGGCAGGAGAAAAAAGTCCATTTTTTCTTGTCTCCTAAGGCGAAAATACACATTGTTGACTGTCACGCCTTTACGCTTTGTCAAAATGACACAAAAATTGACACACACATGTATCTCAATACGATCTATGAAAAAGTCAATGCGAGCGTATCTGTTCAATGTACGGTTAAAGGGCTATTTCGCATTTTTTGCCGATTCGCACACATTGGAATGTGGCTAACTCCTCCTAAGGCTTTCATCCCACTGACACCAAATTTGCTCAGGTCAATCTACACCCCATGGCCATTCAAAGTTGTACAAATCATGACGCTGCACCCCACGGTTTATGTTCTAGGGGGCGCCAAAGAGGCCCCAAATATCCACATTTTTAGAAGTCTTATAACTTTTTATTTTTGTCCTCACTGGCCTCCAAGTTTTCTAGGATGATGCAATGTCCAGCCATCAACACATTTGTGAGGGAATTTTTACTCCCCAAAAGAGCGCCCCCCCATGGCAGGAGAAAAAGTCAAGTTTTTCCTGCCCATCGCTCAATGGCTCAAATGCATCGCTCTCTCGGCAAAACGGAAAGGAGGAGCAACTTGCCATTTGGATATATATTAGCTGTGTTTGTGCCCTCACTCATGGTCCAGACTTTTTTCAAAAATGACATGGAGTTTGTCTGCAGCGAGCGTTTTGGTAGAAACTGCGCCTCCCATTCATTATAATGGTAAATGACCACAGACAAGTGCGCACACCATCTTTGGACCTTGAGTGTGACGCGATCGGGAGGGGTAGGCGGTCGCGCTGGGGGCGGCGCGACACGGCTCGGGCCCGCCAGTGCCCCAACGGGGCCCTAGTTTAGCATTTTTTGCCGATTCGCACACATTGGAATGTGGCTAACTCCTCCTAAAGCTTTTGTCCCATCGGCTTCAAATTTGCTCAGGTCAATCTACACCCCATGGCCATTCAAAGTTGTACAAATCATGACGCTGCACCCCACGGTTTACGTTCTAGGGGGCGCCAAAGAGGACCCAAATATCCACATTTTTAAAAGTCTTATAACTTTTTATTTTTGTCCTCACTGGCCTCCAAGTTTTCTAGGATGATGCAATGTCCAGCCATCAACACATTTGTGAAGGAATTTTTTCTCCCCAAAAGAGCGCCCCCCCATGGCAGGAGAAAAAGTCAAGTTTTTCCTGCCCATCGCTCAATGGCTCAAACGCATCGCTCTCTCGGCAAAACCGAAAGGAGGAGCAACTTGCCATTTGGATATATACTAGTTGTGTTTATGCCCTCACTCATGGTCCAGACTTTTTTCAAAAAGGACATGGAGTTTGTCTGCAGCGAGCATTTTGGTAGAAAAGGCGCCTCCCATTCATTATAATGGTAAATGACCACAGACAAGTGCGCACACCATCTTTGGACCTTGAGTGTGACGCGATCGGGAGGGGTAGGCGGTCGCGCTGGGGGCGGCGCAACACGGCTCGGGCTTGCCAGTGCCCCAACGGGGCCCTAGTTATTATTATTATTAGGGCCCGAGCCAGCTGCAGAGCAGCCGGGCGTAGGCCCTATTATTCCCCAAGTGGTTTTTCTTTGTTTCTTTCTTTAGGGCCCGAGCGTAGCTGCTAAGCAGCTGCGAGAGCCCTATTATTCCCCAAGTGGTTTTTCTTTGTTTCTTTCTTTCTTTCTTTCTTTCTTTCTTCTTTTTCCTCCCCTTTGAACTGGAAAATGGCCCACTTCCCACTGGCGAAAACTCATGAAATTTGGCAGGACGACCGGGCCTGGTGAAAAATTCGATATTCTGAAGTCGCCCAAACAATAAAATGCAAAATGGCTCCATAGCGCCCCCTAAGGTGGAAATTCACACTATTGACTGTCACGCCTGTACGCTTTGACATATTGACACAAAAATTGACACACATATGTATCTCAATAAGATCTACAAAAAAGTCAGTGCGGCCGTATCTGTCAAAATTACGGTTAAAGGGTTATTTCGCATTTTTTGCCGATCCGCACACATTGGAATTTCGCTAACTCCTCCGAAGGCTTTCGTTCCACCGGCACCACATTTGCTCAGGCCAATCTACACCCCGTGGCCATTAAAAGTTATCAAAATCATGACGCTGCACCCCAAGGTTTAGGTTCTAGGGGGCGCCAAAGATAACACTAAAATCCACATATTTAAAAGTCTTATAACTTTTTATTTTTGTCCTCACTGGCCTCCAAGTTTTCTAGGATGATGCAATGTCCAGCCATCAACACATTTGTGAAGGAATTTTTACTCCCCAAAAGAGCGCCCCCCCATGGCAGGAGAAAAAAGTCAATTTTTTCTTGTCCCCTAAGGTGAAAATACACATTGTTGAGTGTTACGCCTGTACGCTTTGGCAAAATGACACAAAAATTGACACACACATGTAACTCAATAAGATCTACGAAAAAGTTAATGCGCGCGTGTCTGTCAAATGTACGGTTAAAGGGTTATTCCGCATTTTTTGCCGATTCGCACACATTGGAATTTCGCTAACTCCTCCGAAGGCTTTCGTTCCACCGGCACCACATTTGCTCAGGCCAAATTACACCCCATGGCCATTAAAAGTTATTCAAATCATGACGCTGCACCCCACGGTTTAGGTTCTAGGGGGCGCCAAAGATAACCCTAAGATCCACATATTTAAAAGTCTTATAACTTTTTATTTTTGTCCTCACTGGCCTCCAAGTTTTCTAGGATGATGCAATGTCCAGCCATCAACACATTTGTGAAGGAATTTTTACTCCCTAAAAGAGCGCCCCCCCATGGCAGGAGAAAAAAGTCCATTTTTCTTGTCCCCTAAGGTGAAAATACACATTGTTGACTGTCACGCCTGTACGCTTTGGCAAAATGACACAAAAATTGACAATCATGTGTATCTCAATTAGATCTACGAAAAAGTCAAAGAGCGCGTATCTGTATAATGTACGGTAAAAGGGCTATTTTGCATTTTTTTCCAATTCGCACACATTGGAATTTCGCTAACTCCTCCTAAGGCTTTCGTCCCACTGACACCAAATTTGCTCAGGCCAATCTACACTCCATGGCCATTCAAAGTTGTAAAAATCATGACGCTGCACCCCACGGTTTACGTTTTAGGGGGCGCCAAAGATGACCCAAATATACATTACAGTAGACAAAGTAGTTTTGCCCACTGAGTGGCGCCAAAGGGACTTGTCTGTGGAGTCTGTGAGTCACTATTGGCCGTTTTTGACTACTTTAGATTTTACCTTTATATTTCCTCTGACAAAATTTTTACCTTGCCTTGCCTGGTATCATTTTTTTCAGCACAACCTCACCTGTGTCAATTTACAGTTATTTTATCATTTTGACATACTATATTTACACATTGGACCCAAATTCACACACAAAACATAAAATCCGAGTGGAAAAAAGTAACGTTTTTACTGTGAAAACCACAAATATGTGTGATGAACTGTTTTTAAAACTTAAACTTCAAATAAAAATTGTAAACTTCAAAACATATGCAAATTTTTAACAAAGAACATAGTAATTTACCTCTATTGACATCAAAATGCAGGCAATGGCCCAGGTTTTCTTTGTAAAATTATTTACAAAACACTGTATAGTCTCACAAATGTCACTTTTTATTTATGCCACTACAAAAAAACATGATGTAAATGATGCATGATGTAAAACATGATGTAAAAAACTTGTGTAGATCCTCCTCTATGTTAGTCCATGTGTAATTTTTCCATAATTCTTTGTTTTTTGCAGCATTTTTGTTAGTGTAACTGCAGATTGTGCTGACAGTGTCTATGGCAAAAAAAAAAAAAAAAAAAAACTGAAAATGCCTCAACATGAACCCCTGGTGGTCTCTGAGGGTGAAACCTGCTAACTGCTGCAGCTCTGTCAGCTTCAGTCTCCCATGCAGAGCTCGGAGCGCATGTGTGGCTCTGCACCCTTAGCAGTGTTGCTAACTCCTCAGTAAGGAAAGCCTGCTTCATGTCAGAGTCTCTAAACTCCAGAAGAAGTCGATAAAAGTCACTTTCTTTCTAAAAAAAAGTCGTTAGGGGGTCTGAAAAGTCATTGAATCTAACAACAAAGTCGCTAGGTTTGCAACTACGTGTCCCAGACTGCATCCCTGCTGAGAGTCCCTCCCTCCCTTCTCATATTGCAGGAAGAACGTAAGTTCCCGCCCCTTGTCAATCAGTCACCATATAATTTTGGATTGGTTGTTGTGGTGAAGTTTTCCACCAATAGGAGAGATGTTGTGGTGTGTTTTTTTTTCCTTTGGCAAGCCTTTTCCGCCTGTAAGACCTGTCGCTAATGTCTGCATGCTATGTTTTCCTGTCTCATACAGCGCGATCGAGCGCCGAACGTGATCAAAATAAGCAGAAAAAAAGTATCGCGGACATAATTTATCATAACTCTGGTTTTATTTGGCCTATCAACACAATTTAAAAACTGGTATATAGGTTGAGGTCCTCACTTTTGAGATAAGTTGAAACGGAGAGTCAACGAGGCTCCGTCTTGCAGCTACATCCGGTTAAATATGTCATGTGACTTGAACGCACACACAGACACACACACACGCACACTCAGAGTCTGGTTTTTAGCACCTGCAAAAACATGCTATTTACATATTTGACAAGAATGCAGAGGCTCCTTTTGCCCCTGAAAAAAATCAAATTTCAAACACAACTTGACTGGTCATTTCTCCAAAAGACAACCATGAAGCTCCATCCAAACCTGAAGCAGGCAGTTGGTGCATGTGTACAGTAACCTGAGGGGAGTGAGGTGAGTGCTTCTGAGGAGAACATGAGCAGTGAAGATTCACCTTGGAGCTAGAACAGAGACATGCACATGATTATACAGGGGCAGGGGCTCAAGTTTTTTCCAGTCGTTTATACAATATGGAAATTAATGTGAAATTAAAACACAAAGTATTAATAGAAAGGTAATGACTGTCCTGTGTAGGTGACAGTGATATCCAATAGGCTAGGCACTCACGAGGCTGGCTGTGGCAAGTGTAAGTGAAAGCAACACGCACTGGCAGGAAGAACAGCAAACGCCGATGAAGGAAAAGAGTCTTTGCAGTGATGGGCGTTACCAGAGAGGGCGATGGCCAGAGGACACAAATGGGACGGGGAGGCAGCACGTTGGGGGGGGGGACGCGACACGGCTCGGGCCCGCCAGTGCCCCAACGGGGTCCTAGTTCTTTCTTTCTTCTTTTTCCTCCCCTTTGAACTGGAAAATGGCCCACTTCCCACTGGCGAAAACTCATGAAATTTGGCAGGACGACCGGGCCTGGTGAAAAATTCGATATTCTGAAGTCGCCCAAACAATAAAATGCAAAATGGCTCCATAGCGCCCCCTAAGGTGGAAATTCACACTATTGACTGTCACGCCTGTACGCTTTGTCATATTGACACAAAAATTGACACACATATGTATCTCAATAAGATCTACAAAAAAGTCAGTGCGGGCGTATCTGTCAAATGTACGGTTAAAGGGTTATTTCGCATTTTTTGCCGATCCGCACACATTGGAATTTCGCTAACTCCTCCGAAGGCTTTCGTTCCACCGGCACCACATTTGCTCAGGCCAATCTACACCCCGTGGCCATTAAAAGTTATCAAAATCATGACGCTGCACCCCAAGGTTTAGGTTCTAGGGGGCGCCAAAGATAACACTAAAATCCACATATTTAAAAGTCTTATAACTTTTTATTTTTGTCCTCACTGGCCTCCAAGTTTTCTAGGATGATGCAATGTCCAGCCATCAACACATTTGTGAAGGAATTTTTACTCCCCAAAAGAGCGCCCCCCCATGGCAGGAGAAAAAAGTCCATTTTTTCTTGTCCCCTAAGGTGAAAATACACATTGTTGAGTGTCACGCCTATACGCTTTGTCAAAATGACACAAAAATTGACACACACATGTAACTCAATAAGATCTACAAAAAAGTCAATGAGCGCGTATCTGTCAAATGTACAGTTAAAGGGTTATTCCGCATTTTTTGCCGATACGCACACATTGGAATTTCGCTAACTCCTCCGAAGGCTTTCGTTCCACCGGCACCACATTTGCTCAGGCCAATCTACACCCCATGGCCATTAAAAGTTATTCAAATCATGATGCTGCACCCCATGGTTTAGGTTCTAGGGGGCGCCAAAAATAACCCAAAAATCCACATTCTTAAATGTTTTATAACTTTTTATTTTTGTCCTCACTGGCCTCCAAGTTTTCTAGGATGATGCAATGTCCAGCCATCAACACATTTGTGAAGGAATTTTTACTCCCCAAAAGAGCGCCCCCCCATGGCAGGAGAAAAAAATCAATTTTTTCTTGTCCCCTTACATAAAAATACACATTGTTGAGTGTCACGCCTGAACGCTTTGTCATATTGACACAAAAATTGACAATCATGTGTATCTCAATTAGATCTACGAAAAAGTCAAAGAGCGCGTATCTGTATAATGTACGGTTAAAGGGCTATTTTGCATTTTTTGCCGATTCGCACACATTGGAATGTGGCTATCTCCTCCTAAGGCTTTCGTCCCACCGACACCAAATTTGCTCAGGGCAATCTACACCCCATGCCCGTTCAAAGTTGTAAAAATCATGACGCTGCACCCCACGGTTTACGTTCTAGGGGGCGCCAAAGATGACCCAAAAATCCACATTCTTAAAAGTCATTTTGGCCACTGCAGGAGTACAGAGTACTGCAGTTCTAGGGGGCGCCAAAGATGACCCAAAAATCCACATTCTTAAAAGTCTTTTTGGCCACTGCAGGAGTACAGAGTACTGCAGGATACACACACGCCAACATACACACACACACACACACACACACACACACAGACACACACACACACTCAGAGTCTGTTTTTTAGCACCTGCAAAAACATGCTGTTTACATATTTGACAAGAATGCAGAGGCTTCCTTTTGCCCCTGAAAAAAATCAAATTTCAAACACAACTTGACTGTTCATTTCTCCAAAAGACAACCATGAAGCTCCATTTCAAACCTGAAGCAGATAGTTGGTGCATGTGTACAGTAACCTGAGGGGAGTGAGGTGACTATTTCTGAGGAGAACATGAGCAGTGAAGATTCACCTTGGAGCTAGAACAGGGACGTGCACATGATTATACAGGGGCAGGGGCTCAAGTTTTTTCCAGTCATTTATACAATATGGAAATTAATGTGAAATTAAAAAACAAAGTATTAATAGAAAGGTAATGACTGTCCTGTGTAGGTGACAGTGATATCCAATAGGCTAGGCACTCACGAGGCTGGCTGTGGCAAGTGTAAGTGAAAGCAACACGCACTGGCAGGAAGAACAGCAAACGCCGATGAAGGAAAAGGGTCTTTGCAGTGATGGGCGTTACCAGAGAGGGCGATGGCCAGAGGACACAAATGGGACGGGGAGGCAGCGCGTTGGGGGGGGGGACGCGACACGGCTCGGGCCCGCCAGTGCCCCAACGGGGTCCTAGTTAGGGCCCGAGCCAGCTGCAGAGCAGCCGGGCGTAGGCCCTATTATTCCCCAAGTGGTTTTTCTTTGTTTCTTTCTTTAGGGCCCGAGCGTAGCTGCTAAGCAGCTGCGAGAGCCCTCTTGTTCCTGATGGATTCTTCTTTCGTTATTTTTCCTCCGCTTTAAACTGGAAAATGGCCCACTTCCCACTGGCGAAAACTCAGGAAATTTGGCAGGACGACCGGGCCTGGTGAAAAATTCGATATTCTGAAGTCGCCCAAACAAAAAAATGAAAAATGGCTCCATAGCGCCCCCTATGGTGAAAACTCACCTGACGCCTGTACGCTTTGTCAAAATGACACAAAATTTGACACACATGTGTATCCCAATAAGATCTACAAAAAAGTCAGCGCGGGCGTATCTGTCAAATGTACCGTTAAAGGGCTATTTCGCATTTTTTGCCGATCCGCACACATTGGAATTTCGCTAACTCCTCCGAAGGCTTTCGTTCCACCGGCACCAAATTTGCTCAGGCCAATCTACACCCCATGGCCATTAAAAGTTGTACAAATCATGACGCTGCACCCCACGGTTTACGTTCTAGGGGGCGCCAAAGATAACCCTAAAATCCACATATTTAAAAGTCTTATAACTTTTTATTTTTGTCCTCACTGACCTCCAAGTTTTCTAGGATGATGCAATGTCCAGCCATCAACACATTTGTGAAGGAATTTTTACTCCCCAAAAGAGCGCCCCCCCATGGCAGGAGAAAAAAGTCCATTTTTTCTTGTCCCCTAACATGAAAATACACATTGTTGAGTGTCACGCCTGAACGCTTTGTCATATTGACACAAAAATTGACAATCATGTGTATCTCAATTAGATCTACGAAAAAGTCAAAAAGCGCGTATCTGTATAATGTACGGTTAAAGGACTATTTCGCATTTTTTGCCGATTCGCACACATTGGAATGTGGCTATCTCCTCCTAAGGCTTTCGTCCCACCGATACCAAATTTGCTCAGGGCAATCTACACCCCATGCCCATTCAAAGTTGTAAAAATCATGACGCTGCACCCCACGGTTTACGTTCTAGGGGGCGCCAAAGATGACCCAAAAATCCACATTCTTAAAAGTCATTTTGGCCACTGCAGGAGTACAGAGTACTGCAGTTCTAGGGGGCGCCAAAGATGACCCAAAAATCCACATTCTTAAAAGTCTTTTTGGCCACTGCAGGAGTACAGAGTACTGCAGGATACACACACACACACACACACACACACACACACACACACACACACACACACACACACACACTCAGAGTCTGTTTTTTAGCACCTGCAAAAACATGCTATTTACATATTTGACAAGAATGCAGAGGCTCCTTTTGCCCCTGAAAAAAATCAAATTTCAAACACAACTTGACTGTTCATTTCTCCAAAAGACAACCATGAAGCTCCATCCAAACCTGAAGCAGATAGTTGGTGCATGTGTACAGTAACCTGAGGGGAGTGAGGTGACTATTTCTGAGGAGAACATGAGCAGTGAAGATTCACCTTGGAGCTAGAACAGGGACGTGCACATGATTATACAGGGGCAGGGGCTCAAGTTTTTTCCAGTCATTTATACAATATGGAAATTAATGTGAAATTAAACCACAAATATGTGTGATGAACTGTTTTTAAAACTTAAACTTCAAATAAAAATTGTAAACTTCAAAACATATGCAAATTTTTAACAAAGAACATAGTAATTTACCTCTATTTACATCAAAATGCAGGCAATGGCCCAGGCGTTCTTTGTAAAATAATTTACAAAACACTGTATAGTCTCACAAATGTCACTTTTTATTTATGCCACTACAAAAAAACATGATGTAAATGATGCATGATGTAAAACATGATGTAAAAAACTTGTGTAGATCCTCCTCTATGTCAGTCCATGTGTAATTTTTTCATAATTCTTTGTTTTTTGCAGCATTTCTGTTAGTGTAACTGCAGATTGTGCTGACAGTGTCTATGGCAAAAAAAAAAAAAAAAAATTAAAATGCCTCAACATGAACCTCTGGTGGTCTCTGAGGGTGAAACCTGCTAACTGCTGCAGCTCTGTCAGCTTCAGTCTCCCATGCAGAGCTCGGAGCGCATGTGTGGCTCTGCACCCTTAGCAGCGTTGCTAACTCCTCAGTAAGGAAAGCCTGCTCTATGTCAGAGTCTCTAAACTCCAGAAGAAGTCGATAAAAGTCCCTTTCTTTCTAAAAAAAAGTCGTTAGGGGGTCTGAAAAGTCATTGAATCTAACAACAAAGTCGCTAGGTTTGCAACTACGTGTCCCAGACTGCATCCCTGCTGAGAGTCCCTCCCTCCCTTCTCATGTTGCAGGAAGAACGTAAGCGCCCGCCCCTTGTCAATCAGTCACCATATAATTTTGGATTGGTTGTTGTGGTGAAGTTTTCCACCAATAGGAGAGATGTTGTGGTGTGTTTTTTTTTTTCTTTTGGCAAGCCTTTTCCGCCTGTAAGAGCTGTTGCTAATGTCTGCATGCTATGTTTTCCTGTCTCATACAGCGCGATCGAGCGCCGAACGTGATCAAAAGAAGCAGAAAAAAAGTATCGCGGACATAATTTATCATAACTCTGGTTTTATTTGGCCTATCAACACAATTTAAAAACTGGTATATAGGTTGAGGTCCTCACTTTTGAGATAAGTTGAAACGGAGAGTCAACGAGGCTCCGTCTTGCAGCTACATCCGGTTAAATATGTCATGTGACTTGAACGCACACACACACACACAGACACACACACGCACACACACACACACATACACAGTCAGAGTCTGGTTTTTAGCACCTGCAAAAACATGCTATTTACATATTTGACAAGAATGCAGAGGCTCCTTTTGCCCCTGAAAAAAATCAAATTTCAAACACAACTTGACTGGTCATTTCTCCAAAAGACAACCATGAAGCTCCATCCAAACCTGAAGCAGGCAGTTGGTGCATGTGTACAGTAACCTGAGGGGAGTGAGGTGACTGCTTCTGAGGAGAACATGAGCAGTGAAGATTCACCTTGGAGCGAGAACAGGGACGTGCACATGATTATACAGGGGCAGGGGCTCAAGTTTTTTCCAGTTGTTTATACAATATGGAAATTAATGTGAAATTAAAAAACAAAGTATTAATAGAAAGGTAATGACTGTCCTGTGTAGGTGACAGTGATATCCAATAGGCTAGGCACTCACGAGGCTGGCTGTGGCAAGTGTAAGTGAAAGCAACACGCACTGGCAGGAAGAACAGCAAACGCCGATGAAGGAAAAGGGTCTTTGCAGTGATGGGCGTTACCAGAGAGGACGATGGCCAGAGGATGCGAATGGGATGGGGAGGCAGCGCGTTGGGGGGGGGGGCGCGACACAGCTCGGGCCCGCCAGTGCCCCAACGGGGCCCTAGTTCTTTCTTTCTTTCTTTCTTTCTTCTTTTTCCTCCCCTTTGAACTGGAAAATGGCCCACTTCCCACTGGCGAAAACTCATGAAATTTGGCAGGACGACCGGGCCTGGTGAAAAATTCGATATTCTGAAGTCGCCCAAACAATAAAATGCAAAATGGCTCCATAGCGCCCCCTAAGGTGGAAATTCACACTATTGACTGTCACGCCTGTACGCTTTGTCATATTGACACAAAAATTGACACACATATGTATCTCAATAAGATCTACAAAAAAGTCAGTGCGGCCGTATCTGTCAAAATTACGGTTAAAGGGTTATTTCGCATTTTGTGCCGATCCGCACACATTGGAATTTCGCTAACTCCTCCGAAGGCTTTCGTTCCACCGGCACCACATTTGCTCAGGCCAATCTACACCCCATGGCCATTAAAAGTTATTCAAATCATGACGCTGCACCCCACGGTTTAGGTTCTAGGGGGCGCCAAAGATAACCCTAAGATCCACATATTTAAAAGTCTTATAACTTTTTATTTTTGCCCTCACTGGCCTCCAAGTTTTCTAGGATGATGCAATGTCCAGCCATCAACACATTTGTGAAGGAATTTTTACTCCCCAAAAGAGCGCCCCCCCATGGCAGGAGAAAAAAGTCCATTTTTTCTTGTCCCCTAAGGTGAAAATACACATTGTTGAGTGTAACACCTGTACGCTTTGGCAAAATGACACAAAAATTGACACACACATGTAACTCAATAAGATCTACAAAAAAGTCCATGCGCGCGTATCTGTCAAATGTACAGTTAAAGGGTTATTCCGCTTTTTTTGCCGATACGCACACATTGGAATTTCGCTAACTCCTCCGAAGGCTTTCGTTCCACCGGCACCACATTTGCTCAGGCCAATCTACACCCCATGCCCATTAAAAGTTATTCAAATCATGATGCTGCACCCCATGGTTTAGGTTCTAGGGGGCGCCAAAAATAACCCAAAAATCCACATTCTTAAATGTTTTATAACTTTTTATTTTTGTCCTCACTGGCCTCCAAGTTTTCTAGGATGATGCAATGTCCAGCCATCAACACATTTGTGAAGGAATTTTTACTCCCCAAAAGAGCGCCCCCCCATGGTAGGAGAAAAAAGTCCATTTTTTCTTGTCCCCTTACATGAAAATACACATTGTTGAGTGTCACGCCTAAACGCTTTGTCATATTGACACAAAAATTGACAATCATGTGTATCTCAATTAGATCTACAAAAAAGTCAAAGAGCGCGTATCTGTATAATGTACGGTTAAAGGGCTATTTTGCATTTTTTGCTGATTCGCACACATTGGAATGTGGCTATCTCCTCCTAAGGCTTTCGTCCCACCGATACCAAATTTGCTCAGGCCAATCTACACCCCATGCCCATTCAAAGTTGTAAAAATCATGACGCTGCACCCCACGGTTTACGTTCTAGGGGGCGCCAAAGATGACCCAAAAATCCACATTCTTAAAAGTCATTTTGGCCACTGCAGGAGTACAGAGTACTGCAGTTCTAGGGGGCGCCAAAGATGACCCAAAAATCCACATTCTTAAAAGTCTTTTTGGCCACTGCAGGAGTACAGAGTACTGCAGGATACACACACATATACACACACGCCAACATACACACACACACACACACACACACACACACAGACACACACACACACTCAGAGTCTGTTTTTTAGCACCTGCAAAAACATGCTGTTTACATATTTGACAAGAATGCAGAGGCTTCCTTTTGCCCCTGAAAAAAATCAAATTTCAAACACAACTTGACTGTTCATTTCTCCAAAAGACAGCCATGAAGCTCCATTTCAAACCTGAAGCAGATAGTTGGTGCATGTGTACAGTAACCTGAGGGGAGTGAGGTGACTATTTCTGAGGAGAACATGAGCAGTGAAGATTCACCTTGGAGCTAGAACAGGGACGTGCACATGATTATACAGGGGCAGGGGCTCAAGTTTTTTCCAGTCATTTATACAATATGGAAATTAATGTGAAATTAAACCACAAATATGTGTGATGAACTGTTTTTAAAACTTAAACTTCAAATAAAAATTGTAAACTTCAAAACATATGCAAATTTTTAACAAAGAACATAGTTATTTACCTCTATTTACATCAAAATGCAGGCAATGGCCCAGGCGTTCTTTGTAAAATTATTTACAAAACACTGTATAGTCTCACAAATGTCACTTTTTATTTATGCCACTACAAAAAAACATGATGTAAATGATGCATGATGTAAAACATGATGTAAAAAACTTGTGTAGATCCTCCTCTATGTCAGTCCATGTGTAATTTTTCCATAATTCTTTGTTTTTTGCAGCATTTTTGTTAGTGTAACTGCAGATTGTGCTGACAGTGTCTATGGCACAAAAAAAAAAAAATTAAAATGCCTCAACATGAACCCCTGGTGGTCTCTGAGGGTGAAACCTGCTAACTGCTGCAGCTCTGTCAGCTTCAGTCTCCCATGCAGAGCTCTGAGCGCATGTGTGGCTCTGCACCCTTAGCAGCGTTGCTAACTCCTCAGTAAGGAAAGCCTGCTTCATGTCAGAGTCTCTAAACTCCAGAAGAAGTCGATAAAAGTCCCTTTCTTTCTAAAAAAAAGTCGTTAGGGGGTCTGAAAAGTCATTGAATCTAACAACAAAGTCGCTAGGTTTGCAACTACGTGTCCCAGACTGCATCCCTGCTGAGAGTCCCTCCTCGCTTCTCATGTTGCAGGAAGAACGTAAGCGCCCGCCCCTTGTCAATCAGTCACCATATAATTTTGGATTGGTTGTTGTGGTGAAGTTTTCCACCAATAGGAGAGATGTTGTGGTGTGTTTTTTTTTTCTTTTGGCAAGCCTTTTCCGCCTGTAAGACCTGTCGCTAATGTCTGCATGCTATGTTTTCCTGTCTCATACAGCGCGATCGAGCGCCGAACGTGATCAAAATAAGCAGAAAAAAAGTATCGCGGACATAATTTATCATAACTCTGGTTTTATTTGGCCTATCAACACAATTTAAAAACTGGTATATAGGTTGAGGTCCTCACTTTTGAGATAAGTTGAAACGGAGAGTCAACGAGGCTCCGTCTTGCAGCTACATCCGGTTAAATATGTCATGTGACTTGAACGCACACGCAGACACACACGCACACACACACACACACACACACACACTCAGAGTCTGGTTTTTAGCACCTGCAAAAACATGCTATTTACATATTTGACAAGAATGCAGAGGCTCCTTTTGCCCCTGAAAAAAATCAAATTTCAAACACAACTTGACTGGTCATTTCTCCAAAAGACAACCATGAAGCTCCATCCAAACCTGAAGCAGGCAGTTGGTGCATGTGTACAGTAACCTGAGGGGAGTGAGGTGAGTGCTTCTGAGGAGAACATGAGCAGTGAAGATTCACCTTGGAGCTAGAACAGAGACATGCACATGATTATACAGGGGCAGGGGCTCAAGTTTTTTCCAGTCGTTTATACAATATGGAAATTAATGTGAAATTAAAACACAAAGTATTAATAGAAAGGTAATGACTGTCCTGTGTAGGTGACAGTGATATCCAATAGGCTAGGCACTCACGAGGCTGGCTGTGGCAAGTGTAAGTGAAAGCAACACGCACTGGCAGGAAGAACAGCAAACGCCGATGAAGGAAAAGGGTCTTTGCAGTGATGGGCGTTAACAGAGAGGGCGATGGCCAGAGGACACAAATGGGACGGGGAGGCAGCATGTTGGGGGGGGGGGGGGGGATACGCGACACGGCTCGGGCCCGCCAGTGCCCCAACGGGGTCCTAGTTATTATTTTTCCTCCGCTTTAAACTGGAAAATGGCCCACTTCCCACTGGCGAAAACTCATGAAATTTGGCAGGACGACCGGGCCTGGTGAAAAATTCGATATTCTGAAGTCACCCAAACAATAAAATGCAAAATGGCTCCATAGCGCCCCCTAAGGTGAAAATTCACACTATTGACTGTCACGCCTGTACGCTTTGTCATATTGACACAAAAATTGACACACACATGTATCTCAATAAGATCTACAAGAAAGTCAGTGCGGGCGTATCTGTCAAATGTACGGTTAAAGGGTTATTTCGCATTTTTTGCCGATCCGCACACATTGGAATTTCGCTAACTCCTCCGAAGGCTTTCGTTCCACCGGCACCACATTTGCTCAGGCCAATCTACACTCCATGGCCATTCAAAGTTGTACAAATCATGATGCTGCACCCCATGGTTTAGGTTCTAGGGGGCGCCAAAAATAACCCAAAAATCCACATTCTTAAAAGTTTTATAACTTTTTATTTTTGTCCCCACTGGCCTCCAAGTTTTCTAGTATGATGCAATGTCCAGCCATCAACACATTTGTGAAGGAATTTTTACTCCCCAAAAGAGCGCCCCCCCATGGCAGGACAAAAAAGTCAATTTTTTCTTGTCCCCTAAGGTGAAAATACACATTGTTGAGATTCACGCCTGTACGCTTTGTCATATTGACAAAAAATTTGACACACACGTGTATCTCAATAAGATCTACGAAAAAGTCAAAGAGCGCGTATCTGTAAAATGTACGGCTAAACGGCTATTTTGCATTTTTTGCCGATTCGCACACATTGGAATGTGGCTAACTCCTCCTAAGGCTTTCGTCCCACTGAAACCAAATTTGCTCAGGCCAATCTACACCCCATGGCCATTCAAAGTTGTAAAAATCATGACGCTGCACCCCACGGTTTACGTTCTAGGGGGCGCCAAAGAGGACCCTAAAATCCACATATTTCAAAGTCTTATAACTTTTTATTTTTGTCCTCACTGGCCTCCAAGTTTTCTAGGATGATGCAATGTCCAGCCATCAACACATTTGTGAAGGAATTTTTACTCGCCAAAAGAGCGCCCCCCCATGGCAGGAGAAAAAAGTCCATTTTTTCTTGTCTCCTAAGGCGAAAATACACATTGTTGACTGTCACGCCTTTACGCTTTGTCAAAATGACACAAAATTTGACACACACATGTATCTCAATAAGATCTACGAAAAAGTCATGCGAGCGTATCTGTTCAATGTACGGTTAAAGGGCTATTTTAGCATTTTTTGCCGATTCGCACACATTGGAATGTGGCTAACTCCTCCTAAAGCTTTTGTCCCATCGGCTTCAAATTTGCTCAGGTCAATCTACACCCCATGGCCATTCAAAGTTGTACAAATCATGACGCTGCACCCCACGGTTTACGTTCTAGGGGGCGCCAAAGAGGACCCAAATATCCACATTTTTAAAAGTCTTATAACTTTTTATTTTTGTCCTCACTGGCCTCCAAGTTTTCTAGGATGATGCAATGTCCAGCCATCAACACATTTGTGAAGGAATTTTTTCTCCCCAAAAGAGCGCCCCCCCATGGCAGGAGAAAAAGTCAAGTTTTTCCTGCCCATCGCTCAATGGCTCAAACGCATCGCTCTCTCGGCAAAACCGAAAGGAGGAGCAACTTGCCATTTGGATATATACTAGTTGTGTTTATGCCCTCACTCATGGTCCAGACTTTTTTCAAAAAGGACATGGAGTTTGTCTGCAGCGAGCATTTTGGTAGAAACTGCGCCTCCCATTCATTATAATGGTAAATGACCACAGACAAGTGCGCACACCATCTTTGGACCTTGAGTGTGACGCGATCGGGAGGGGTAGGCGGTCGCGCTGGGGGCGGCGCAACACGGCTCGGGCTTGCCAGTGCCCCAACGGGGCCCTAGTTAGGGCCCGAGCGTAGCTGCTAAGCAGCTGCGAGAGCCCTCTTGTTCCTGATGGATTCTTCTTTCGTTATTTTTCCTCCGCTTTAAACTGGAAAATGGCCCACTTCCCACTGGCGAAAACTCAGGAAATTTGGCAGGACGACCGGGCCTGGTGAAAAATTTGATATTCTGAAGTCGTCCAAACAAAAAAATGAAAAATGGCTCCATAGCGCCCCCTATGGTGAAAACTCACCTGACGCCTGTACGCTTTGTCAAAATGACACAAAATTTGACACACATGTGTATCTCAATAAGATCTACAAAAAAGTCAGTGCGGGCGTATCTGTCAAATGTACGGTTAAAGGGCTATTTCGCATTTTTTGCCGATCCGCACACATTGGAATTTCGCTAACTCCTCCGAAGGCTTTCGTTCCACCGGCACCACATTTGCTCAGGCCAATCTACACCCCATGGCCATTAAAAGTTGTACAAATCATGACGCTGCACCCCACGGTTTATGTTCTAGGGGGCGCCAAAGATAACCCTAAAATCCACATATTTAAAAGTCTTATAACTTTTTATTTTTGTGCTCACTGGCCTCCAAGTTTTCTAGGATGATGCAATGTCCAGCCATCAACACATTTGTGAAGGAATTTTTACTCCCCAACAGAGCGCCCCCCCATGGCAGGAGAAAAAAGTCCATTTTTTCTTGTCCCCTAAGGTGAAAATACATATTGTTGAGATTCACGCCTGTACGCTTTGTCATATTGACACAAAATTTGACAATCACGTGTATCTCAATAAGATCTACGAAAAAGTCAATGCACAAATATCTGTAAAATGTACGGTTAAAGGGCTATTTCGAATTTTTTGCCGATTCACACACATTGGAATGTAGCTAACTCCTCCTAAGGCTTTCGTCCCAGTGACACCAAATATTTCAGGCCAATCTACACCCCATGGCCATTCAAAGTTGTAAAAATCATGACGCTGCACCCCACGGTTTACGTTCTAGGGGGCGCCAAAAATGACCCAAATATCCATATTCTTAAAAGTGTTAGAACATTTCATTTTTGTCCTCACTGGACTCCATGTTTTCTAGGATGATGCAATGTCCAGCCATCAACACATTTGTGAAGGAATTTTTTCTCGTTAAAAGAGCGCCCCCCCATGGCAGGAGAATAAAGTCAAGTTTTTCCTGTTCATAGTTCAATGGCTCAAACGCACTGCTCTCTCGGCAAAAGCGAAAGGAGGAGCAACTTGCCGTTTGGATATTTCCTAGCTGTGTTTGTGCCCTCATGGTCCAGACTTTTTTCAAATAGGACATGTAGTTTGTCTGCAGCCAGCGTTTCGGTAGAAACTGCGCCTCCCATTCATTATAATGGGAAATGACCAAAGACAGGTGTGCACACTATCTTTGGACCTCGACTGTGACGTCACAGTTTGACATTTAAATGTTATTTGACCTCTGACCTTTGGTGGAGACGTGAACCTTTCAACCTGCAAAAACGGCGTTTCAATAGCTCTTACGGCTTTTCTACAAATACACTTTGTTCTGCTGCTCCTACTGTCTCTTCAGAGCTTAGGATACACAAACACACACATACACACACACACACACACACACACACACACAGAGTCTGTTTTTTAGCACCTGCAAAAACATGCTATTTACATATTTGACAAGAATGCAGGGGCTTCCTTTTGCCCCTGAAAAAAATCAAATTTCAAACACAACTTGACTGCTCATTTCTCCAAAAGACAACCATGAAGCTCCATCCAAACCTGAAGCAGGCAGTTGGTGCATGTGTACAGTAACCTGAGGGGACTGAGGTGACTGCTTCTGAGGAGAACATGAGCAGTGAAGATTCACCTTGGAGATAGAACAGGGACGTGCACATGATTACACAGGGGCAGGGGCTCAAGTTTTTTCCAGTCGTTTATACAATATGGAAATTAATGTGAAATTAAAAAACAAAGTATTAATAGAAAGGTAATGACTGTCCTGTGTAGGTGACAGTGATATCCAATAGGCTAGGCACTCACGAGGCTGGCTGTGGCAAATGTAAGTGAAAGCAACACGCACTGGCAGGAAGAACAGCAAACACCGATAAAGGAAAAGGGTCTTTGCAGTGATGGGCGCTACCAGAGAGGGCGATGGCCAGAGGACGTGAATGGGACGGGGAGGCAGCCCGGGGGGGGGGGGGGGGGGGCGACACGGCTCGGGCCCGCCAGTGCCCCAACGGGGCCCTAGTTAGGGCCCGAGCGTTGCTGCTAAGCAGCTGCGAGAGCCCTATTATTCCCCAAGTGGTTTTTCTTCTGTTTTTTCTTTTTCCTCCCCTTTGAACTGGAAAATGGCCCACTTCCCACTGGCAAAAACTCATGAAATTTGGCAGGACGACCGGGCCTGGTGAAAAATTTGATATTCCGAAGTCGCCCAAACAAGAAAATGCAAAATGGCTCCATAGCGCCCCCTAAGGTGAAAATTCACACTATTGAGTGTCACGCCTGTACGCTTTGTCAAAATGACACAAAATTTGACACACACATGTATCTCAATAAGATCTACAAAAAAGTCAGTGCGGGCGTATCTGTCAAATGTACAATTAAAGGGTTATTTCGCATTTTTTGCCGATCCGCACACATTGGAATTTCGCTAACTCCTCCGAAGGCTTTCGTTCCACCGGCACCACATTTGCTCAGGCCAATCTACACCCCATGGCCATTAAAAGTTATTCAAATCATGACGCTGCACCCCACGGTTTAGGTTCTAGGGGGCGCCAAAGATAACCCTAAAATCCACATATTTAAAAGTCTTATAACTTTTTATTTTTGCCCTCACTGGCCTCCAAGTTTTCTAGGATGATGCAATGTCCAGCCATCAACACATTTGTGAAGGAATTTTTACTCCCCAAAAGAGCGCCCCCCATGGCAGGAGAAAAAAGTCCATTTTTTCTTGTCCCCTAAGGTGAAAATACACATTGTTGAGTGTCACGCCTGTACGCTTTGTCAAAATGACACAAAAATTGACACACACATGTATCTCAATAAGATCTACAAAAAAGTCCATGCGCGCGTATCTGTCAAATGTACGGTTAAAGGGTTATTCCGCATTTTTTGCCAATTCGCACACATTGGAATTTCGCTAACTCCTCCGAAGGCTTTCGTTCCACCGGCACCACATTTGCTCAGGCCAATCTACACCCCATGGCCATTAAAAGTTATTCAAATCATGACGCTGCACCCCACGGTTTACGTTCTAGGGGGCGCCAAAGATAACCCAAAAATCCACATTTTTAAAAGTCTTATAACTTTTTATTTTTGTCCTCACTGGCCTCCAAGTTTTCTAGGATGATGCAATGTCCAGCCATCAACACATTTGTGAAGGAATTTTTACTCCCTAAAAGAGCGCCCCCCCATGGCAGGAGAAAAAAGTCCATTTTTTCTTGTCCCCTAAGGTGAAAATACACATTGTTGACTGTCACGCCTGTACGCTTTGGCAAAATGACACAAAAATTGACAATCATGTGTATCTCAATTAGATCTACGAAAAAGTCAAGAGCGCGTATCTGTATAATGTACGGTAAAAGGGCTATTTTGCATTTTTTGCCGATTCGCACACATTGGAATTTCGCTAACTCCTCCTAAGGCTTTCGTCCCACTGACACCAAATTTGCTCAGGCCAATCTACACCCCATGGCCATTAAAAGTTATTCAAATCATGACGCTGCACCCCACGGTTTAGGTTCTAGGGGGCGCCAAAGATAACCCTAAAATCCACATATTTAAAAGTCTTATAACTTTTTATTTTTGCCCTCACTGGCCTCCAAGTTTTCTAGGATGATGCAATGTCCAGCCATCAACACATTTGTGAAGGAATTTTTACTCCCCAAAAGAGCGCCCCCCCATGGCAGGAGAAAAAAGTCCATTTTTTCTTGTCCCCTAAGGTGAAAATACACATTGTTGAGTGTCACGCCTGTACGCTTTGTCAAAATGACACAAAAATTGACACACACATGTATCTCAATAAGATCTACAAAAAAGTCCATGCGCGCGTATCTGTCAAATGTACGGTTAAAGGGTTATTCCGCATTTTTTGCCAATTCGCACACATTGGAATTTCGCTAACTCCTCCGAAGGCTTTCGTTCCACCGGCACCACATTTGCTCAGGCCAATCTACACCCCATGGCCATTAAAAGTTATTCAAATCATGACGCTGCACCCCACGGTTTACGTTCTAGGGGGCGCCAAAGATAACCCAAAAATCCACATTTTTAAAAGTCTTATAACTTTTTATTTTTGTCCTCACTGGCCTCCAAGTTTTCTAGGATGATGCAATGTCCAGCCATCAACACATTTGTGAAGGAATTTTTACTCCCTAAAAGAGCGCCCCCCCATGGCAGGAGAAAAAAGTCCATTTTTTCTTGTCCCCTAAGGTGAAAATACACATTGTTGACTGTCACGCCTGTACGCTTTGGCAAAATGACACAAAAATTGACAATCATGTGTATCTCAATTAGATCTACGAAAAAGTCAAAGAGCGCGTATCTGTATAATGTACGGTAAAAGGGCTATTTTGCATTTTTTGCCGATTCGCACACATTGGAATTTCGCTAACTCCTCCTAAGGCTTTCGTCCCACTGACACCAAATTTGCTCAGGCCAATCTACACTCCATGGCCATTCAAAGTTGTAAAAATCATGACGCTGCACCCCACGGTTTACGTTTTAGGGGGCGCCAAAGATGACCCAAATATACATTACAGTAGACAAAGTAGTTTTGCCCACTGAGTGGCGCAAAAGGGACTTGTCTGTGGAGTCTGTGAGTCACTATTGGCCGTTTTTGACTACTTTAGATTTTACCTTTATATTTCCTCTTACAAAATTTTTACCTTGCCTTGCCTGGTATCATTTTTTTCAGCACAACCTCACCTGTGTCAATTTACAGTTATTTTATCATTTTGACATACTATATTTACACATTGGACCCAAATTCACACACAAAACATAAAATCCGAGTGGAAAAAAGTAACGTTTTTACTGTGAAAACCACAAATATGTGTGATGAACTGTTTTTAAAACTTAAACTTCAAATAAAAATTGTAAACTTCAAAACATATGCAAATTTTTAACAAAGAACATAGTAATTTACCTCTATTTACATCAAAATGCAGGCAATGGCCCAGGTGTTCTTTGTAAAATTATTTACAAAACACTGTATAGTCTCACAAATGTCACTTTTTATTTATGCCACTACAAAAAAACATGATGTAAATGATGCATGATGTAAAACATGATGTAAAAAACTTGTGTATATCCTCCTCTATGTTAGTCCATGTGTAATTTTTCCATAATTCTTTGTTTTTTGCAGCATTTTTGTTAGTGTAACTGCAGATTGTGCTGACAGTGTCTATGGCAAAAAAAAAAAAAAAAACTGAAAATGCCTCAACATGAACCCCTGGTGGTCTCTGAGGGTGAAACCTGCTAACTGCTGCAGCTCTGTCAGCTTCAGTCTCCCATGCAGAGCTCGGAGCGCATGTGTGGCTCTGCACCCTTAGCAGCGTTGCTAACTCCTCAGTAAGGAAAGCCTGCTTCATGTCAGAGTCTCTAAACTCCAGAAGAAGTCGATAAAAGTCACTTTCTTTCTAAAAAAGTCGTTAGGGGGTCTGAAAAGTCATTGAATCTAACAACAAAGTCGCTAGGTTTGCAACTACGTGTCCCAGACTGCATCCCTGCTGAGAGTCCCTCCCTCCCTTCTCATGTTGCAGGAAGAACGTAAGCACCCGCCCCTTGTCAATCAGTCACCATATAATTTTGGATTGGTTGTTGTGGTGAAGTTTTCCACCAATAGGAGAGATGTTGTGGTGTGTTTTTTTTTTCTTTTGGCAAGCCTTTTCCGCCTGTAAGACCTGTCTCTAATGTCTGCATGCTATGTTTTCCTGTCTCATACAGCGCGATCGAGCGCCGAACGTGATCAAAATAAGCAGAAAAAAAGTATCGCGGACATAATTTATCATAACTCTGGTTTTATTTGGCCTATCAACACAATTTAAAAACTGGTATATAGGTTGAGGTCCTCACTTTTGAGATAAGTTGAAACGGAGAGTCAACGAGGCTCCGTCTTGCAGCTACATCCGGTTAAATATGTCATGTGACTTGAACGCACACACAGACACACACACACGCACACACACACACACACACACACACACACACACTCAGAGTCTGGTTTTTAGCACCTGCAAAAACATGCTATTTACATATTTGACAAGAATGCAGAGGCTCCTTTTGCCCCTGAAAAAAATCAAATTTCAAACACAACTTGACTGGTCATTTCTCCAAAAGACAACCATGAAGCTCCATCCAAACCTGAAGCAGGCAGTTGGTGCATGTGTACAGTAACCTGAGGGGAGTGAGGTGAGTGCTTCTGAGGAGAACATGAGCAGTGAAGATTCACCTTGGAGCTAGAACAGAGACATGCACATGATTATACAGGGGCAGGGGCTCAAGTTTTTTCCAGTCGTTTATACAATATGGAAATTAATGTGAAATTAAAAAACAAAGTATTAATAGAAAGGTAATGACTGTCCTGTGTAGGTGACAGTGATATCGAATAGGCCAGGCACTCACGAGGCTGGCTGTGGCAAGTGTAAGTGAAAGCAACACGCACTGGCAGGAAGAACAGCAAACGCCGATGAAGGAAAAGGGTCTTTGCAGTGATGGGCGTTACCAGAGAGGGCGATGGCCAGAGGACACAAATGGGACGGGGAGGCAGCACGTTGGGGGGGGGGGGGGGGACACGGCTCGGGCCCGCCAGTGCCCCAACGGGGTCCTAGTTATAATTATTATTATTATTTTTCCTCCGCTTTAAACTGGAAAATGGCCCACTTCCCACTGGCGAAAACTCATGAAATTTGGCAGGACGACCGGGCCTGGTGAAAAATTCGATATTCTGAAGTCACCCAAACAATCAAATGCAAAATGGCTCCATAGCGCCCCCTAAGGTGAAAATTCACACTATTGACTGTCACGCCTGTACGCTTTGTCATATTGACACAAAAATTGACACACACATGTATCTCAATAAGATCTACAAGAAAGTCAGTGCGGGCGTATCTGTCAAATGTACGGTTAAAGGGTTATTTCGCATTTTTTGCCGATCCGCACACATTGGAATTTCGCTAACTCCTCCGAAGGCTTTCGTTCCACCGGCACCACATTTGCTCAGGCCAATCTACACTCCATGGCCATTCAAAGTTGTACAAATCATGATGCTGCACCCCATGGTTTAGGTTCTAGGGGGCGCCAAAAATAACCCAAAAATCCACATTCTTAAAAGTTTTATAACTTTTTATTTTTGTCCCCACTGGCCTCCAAGTTTTCTAGGATGATGCAATGTCCAGCCATCAACACATTTGTGAAGGAATTTTTACTCCCCAAAAGAGCGCCCCCCCATGGCAGGACAAAAAAGTCAATTTTTTCTTGTCCCCTAAGGTGAAAATACACATTGTTGAGATTCACGCCTGTACGCTTTGTCATATTGACAAAAAATTTGACACACACGTGTATCTGAATAAGATCTACGAAAAAGTCAATGCGCGCGTATCTGTAAAATGTACGGCTAAACGGCTATTTTGCATTTTTTGCCGATTCGCACACATTGGAATGTGGCTAACTCCTCCTAAGGCTTTCGTCCCACTGACACCAAATTTGCTCAGGCCAATCTACACCCCATGGCCATTCAAAGTTGTAAAAATCATGCCGCTGCACCCCATGGTTTACGTTCTAGGGGGCGCCAAAGATGACCCAAATATCCACATTCTTAAAAGTCGTTTTGGCCACTGCAGGAGTACAGAGTACTGCAGGATACACACACACAGACACACACACACACACAGACACACACACACACACGCACACACACACACACACACACACACACACACACACACACACACACACACACATACACACACACACATACACACTCAGAGTCTGTTTTTCAGCACCTGCAAAAACATGCTATTTACATATTTGACAAGAATGCAGAGGCTCCTTTTGCCCCTGAAAAAAATGAAATTTCAAACACAACTTGACTTGTCATTTCTCCAAAAGACAACCATGAAGCTCCATCCAAACCTGAAGCAGGCAGTTGGTGCATGTGTACAGTAACCTGAGTGGAGTGAGGTGACTGCTTCTGAGGAGAACATGAGCAGTCAAAATTCACCTTGGAGCTAGAACAGGGACGTGCACATGATTATACAGGGGCAGGGGCTCAAGTTTTTTCCAGTCGTTTAGACAATATGGAAATTAATGTGAAATTAAAAAACAAAGTATTAATAGAAAGGTAATGACTGTCCTGTGTAGGTGACAGTGATATCCAATAGGCTAGGCACTCACGAGGCTGGCTGTGGCAAGTGCAAGTGAAAGCCACACGCACTGGCAGGAAGAACAGCAAACGCCGATGAAGGAAAAGGGTCTTTGCAGTGATGGGCGTTACCAGAGAGGACGATGGCCAGAGGACGCGAATGGGACGGGGAGGCAGCGCGTTGGGGGGGGGGGGGGGCGCGCGACACAGCTCGGGCCCGCCAGTGCCCCAACGGGGCCCTAGTGTTATTATTATTATTATTTTTCCTCCCCTTTGAACTGGAAAATGGCCCACTTCCCACTGGCGAAAACTCATGAAATTTGGCAGGACGACCGGGCCTGGTGAAAAATTTGATATTCCGAAGTCGCCCAAACAAGAAAATGCAAAATGGCTCCATAGCGCCCCCTAAGGTGAAAATTCACACTATTCACTGTCACGCCTGTACGCTTTGTCAAAATGACACAAAAATTGACACACACATGTATCTCAATAAGATCTACAAAAAAGTCAGTTCGGGCGTATCTGTCAAATGTACGGTTAAAGGGTTATTTCGCATTTTTTGCAGATCCGCACACATTGGAATTTCGCTAACTCCTCCGAAGGCTTTCGTTCCACCGGCACCACATTTGCTCAGGCCAATCTACACCCCATGGCCATTAAAAGTTATTCAAATCATGACGCTGCACCCCACGGTTTAGGTTCTAGGGGGCGCCAAAGATAACCCTAAAATCCACATATTTAAAAGTCTTATAACTTTTTATTTTTGCCCTCACTGGCCTCCAAGTTTTCTAGGATGATGCAATGTCCAGCCATCAACACATTTGTGAAGGAATTTTTACTCCCCAAAAGAGCGCCCCCCCATGGCCGGAGAAAAAAGTCCATTTTTTCTTGTCCCCTAAGGTGAAAATACACATTGTTGAGTGTCACGCCTGTACGCTTTGTCATATTGACACAAAATTTGACACACACATGTATCTCAATAAGATCTACGAAAAAGTCAATGCGCGCGTATCTGTCAAATGTACGGTTAAAGGGTTATTCTGCATTTTTTGCTGATCCGCACACATTGGAATTTCGCTAACTCCTCCTAAGGCTGGCGTTCCACCGGCACCACATTTGCTCAGGCCAATCTACACCCCATGGCCATTAAAAGTTATTCAAATCATGACGCTGCACCCCACGGTTTAGGTTCTAGGGGGCGCCAAAGATAACCCTAAAATCCACATATTTCAAAGTCTTATAACTTTTTCTTTTTGTCCTCACTGGCCTCCAAGTTTTCTAGGATGATGCAATGTCCAGCCATCAACACATTTGTGAAGGAATTTTTACTCCCTAAAAGAGCGCCCCCCCATGGCAGGAGAAAAAAGTCAATTTTTTCTTGTCCCGTAAGGTGAAAATTCACATTGTTGAGTGTGACACCTGTACGCTTTGTCATATTGACACAAAATTTGACAATCACGTGTATCTCAATAAGATCTACGAAAAAGTCAATGGGTGCGTATCTGTCAAATGTACGGTTAGAGGGCTATTTTGCATTTTTTGCCGATTCGCACACATTGGAATGTGGCTAACTCCTCCTAAGGCTTTCGTCCCACTGAAACTAAATTTGCTCAGGCCAATCTAAACCCCATGGCCATTCAAAGTTGTAAAAATCATGACGCTGCACCCCACGGTTTACGTTCTAGGGGGCGCCAAAGATGACCAAAAAATCCACATTCTTAAAAGAATCCACATTCTCCCCCCCCCCATGGCAGGAGAAAAAGTCAAGTTTTTCCTGCCCATCGCTCAATGGCTCAATCGCATCGCTCTCCAGGCAACACCGTATCCAGGAGCAACCTGCCATTTGGATATATCCCAGCTGTGTTTGTGCCCTCACTCATGGTCCAGACTTTTTTCAAATAGGACATGAAGTTTGTCTGCAGCGAGTGTTTTGGTAGAAACTGCGCCTCCCATTCATTATAATGGGAAATGACCACAGACAAGTGCGCACACCATCTTTGGACCTTGAGTGTGACGCGATCGGGAGGGGGAGGCGGTCACGCTGGGGGCGGCACAACGCGGCTCGGGCCCGACAGTGCCCCACCGGGGCCCTAGTTTGTTATTATTATTATTTTTCCTCCGCTTTAAACTGGAAAATGGCCCACTTCCCACTGGCGAAAACTCATGAAATTTGGCAGGACGACCGGGCCTGGTGAAAAATTTGATATTCTGAAGTCGCCCAAACAATAAAATGCAAAATGGCTCCATAGCGCCCCCTAAGGTGAAAATTCACACTATTGACTGTCACGCCTGTACGCTTTGTCAAAATGACACAAAAATTGACACACACATGTATCTCAATAAGATCTACAAGAAAGTCAGTGCGGGCGTATCTGTCAAATGTACGGTTAAAGGATTATTGCGCATTTTTTGCCGATCCGCACACATTGGAATTTCGCTAACTCCTCCGAAGGCTTTCGTTCCACCGGCACCACATTTGCTCAGGCCAATCTACACCCCATGGCCATTAAAAGTTGTACAAATCATGACGCTGCACCCCACGGTTTACGTTCTAGGGGGCGCCAAAGATAACCCAAAAATCCACAGTCTTAAAAGTCTTATAACTTTTTATTTATGTCCTCACTGGCCTCCAAGTTTTCTAGGATGATGCAATGTCCAGCCATCAAGACATTTGTGAAGGAATTTTTACTCGCCAAAAGAGCGCCCCCCCCCATGGCAGGAGAAAAAAGTCCATTTTTTCTTGTCCCCTAAGGTGAAAATACATATTGTTGAGTGTCACGCCTATACGCTTTGTCATATTGACACAAAATTTGACACACACGTGTATCTCAATAAGATCTACAAAAAAGTCAGCACGGGCGTATCTGTCAAATGTACGGTTAAAGGGTTATTTCGCATTTTTTGCCGATCTGCACACATTGGAATTTCGCTAACTCCTCCTAAAGCTTTCGTTCCACCGGCACCAAATTTGCTCAGGCCAATCTACACCCAATGGCCATTAAAAGTTGTACAAATCATGACGCTGCACCCCACGGTTTACGTTCTAGGGGGCGCCAAAGATAACCCAAAAATCCACAGTCTTAAAAGTCTTATAACTTTTTATTTTTGTCCTCACTGGCCTCCAAGTTTTGTAGGATGATCCAATGTCCAGCCATCAACACATTTGTGAAGGAATTTTTACTCCCCAAAAGAGCGCCCCCCCATGGCAAGAGAAAAAAGTCCATTTTTCTTGTCCCATAAGGTGAAAATACACATTGTTGAGTGTCACGCCTGTACGCTTTGTCATATTGAAACAAAATTTGACAATCACGTGTATCTCAATAAGATCTACGAAAAAGTCAATGCGCACGTATCTGTAAAATGTACGGTTAAAGGGCTATTACGCATTTTTGATCGATCCGCACACATTGGAATGTGGCTGACTCCTCCTAAAGCTTTCGTTCCACCGGCACCAAATTTGCTCAGGCCAATCTACACCCCATGGCCATTAAAAGTTGTACATATCATGACGCTGCACCCCACGGTTTACGTTCTAGGGGGCGCCAAAGATAACCCAAAAATCCACATTCTTAAAAGTCTTATAACTTTTCATTTTTGTCCTCACTGGCCTCCAAGTTTTCTAGGATGATGCAATGTCTAGCCATCAACACATTTGTGAAGGAATTTTTACTCCTCAAAAGAGCGCCCCCCCATGGCAGGAGAAAAAGTCAAGTTTTTCCTGCCCATCGCTCAATGGCTCAAACACATGTCATGTGTTCAAACTCCTCCGAAAGGAGGAGCAACTTGCCATTTGGATATATCCCAGCTGTGTTTGTGCCCTCACTCATGGTCCAGACTTTTTTCAAATAGGACATGAAGTTTGTCTGCAGTGAGTGTTTTGGTAGAAACTGCGCCTCCCATTCATTATAGTGGGAAATGACCACAGACAAGTGCGCACACCATCTTTGGACCTTGAGTGTGATGCGATCGGGAGGGGGAGGCGGTCGCGCTGGGGGCGGCACGACGCGGCTCGGGCCCGACAGTGCCCCACTGGGGCCCTAGTTATTATTTTTCCTCCGCTTTAAACTGGAAAATGGCCCACTTCCCACTGGCAAAAACTCATGAAATTTGGCAGGACGAATGGGCCTGGTGAAAAATTCGATATTCTGAAGTCGCCCAAACCATAAAATGCAAATTGGCTCCATAGCGCCCCCTAAGGTGAAAATTCACACTATTGACTGTCACGCCTTTATGCTTTGTCATATTGACACAAAAATTGACACACACATGTATCTCAATAAGATCTACAAAAAAGTCAGTGCGGGCGTATCTGTCAAATGTACGGTTAAAGGGTTATTTCGCATTTTTTGCCGATCCGCACACATTGGAATTTCGCTAACTCCTCCGAAGGCTTTCGTTCCACCGGCAACACATTTGCTCAGGCCAATCTACACCCCATGGCCATTAAAAGTTGTACAAATCATGACGCTGCACCCCACAGTTTACGTTCTAGGGGGCGCCAAAGATAACCCAAAAATCCACAGTCTTAAAAGTCTTATAACTTTTTATTTTTGTCCTCACTGGCCTCCAAGTTCTCTAGGATGATGCAATGTCCAGCCATCAACACATTTGTGAAGGAATTTTTACTCGCCAAAAGAGCGCCCCCCCATGGCAGGAGAAAAAAGTCCATTTTTTCTTGTCTCCTAAGGCGAAAATTCACACTATTGACTGTCACGCCTTTACGCTTTGTCATATTGACACAAAAATTGACACACACATGTATCTCAATAAGATCTACAAAAAAGTCAGTGCGGGCGTATCTGTCAAATGTACGGTTAAAGGCTATTTCGCATTTTTTGCCGATCCGCACACATTGGAATTTCGCTAACTCCTCCGAAGGCTTTCGTTCCAAAGGCACCACATTTGCTCAGGCCAATCTACACCCCATGGCCATTAAAAGTTGTACAAATCATGACGCTGCACCCCACGGTTTACGTTCTAGGGGGCGCCAAAGATAACCCTAAAATCCACAGTCTTAAAAGTCTTATAACTTTTTATTTTTGTCCTCACTGGCCTCCAAGTTCTCTAGGATGATGCAATGTCCAGCCATCAACACATTTGTGAAGGAATTTTTACTCGCCAAAAGAGCGCCCCCCCATGGCAGGAGAAAAAAGTCCATTTTTTCTTGTCTCCTAAGGCGAAAATACACATTGTTGACTGTCACGCCTTTACGCTTTGTCAAAATGACACAAAATTTGACACACACATGTATCTCAATAAGATCTACGAAAAAGTCAATGCGAGTGTATCTGTTCAATGTACGGTTAAAGGGCTATTTCGCATTTTTTGCAGATTCGCACACATTGGAATGTGGCTAACTCCTCCTAAATCTTTTGTCCCATCGGCTTCAAATTTGCTCAGGTCAATCTACACCCCATGGCCATTCAAAGTTGTACAAATCATGACGCTGCACCCCACAGTTTACGTTCTAGGGGGCGCCAAAGAGGACCCAAATATCCACATTTTTAAAAGTCTTATAACTTTTTATTTTTGTCCTCACTGGCCTCTAAGTTTTCTAGGATGATGCAATGTCCAGCCATCAACACATTTGTGAAGGAATTTTTCTCCCCAAAAGAGCGCCCCCCATGGCAGGAGAAAAAGTCAAGTTTTTCCTGCCCATCGCTCAATGGCTCAAACGCATCGCTCTCTCGGCAAAACCGAAAGGAGGAGCAACTTGCCATTTGGATATATACTAGCTGTGTTTGTGCCCTCACTCATGGTCCAGACTTTTTTCAAAAAGGACATGGAGTTTGTCTGCAGCGAGCGTTTTGGTAGAAACTGCGCCTCCCATTCATTATAATGGTAAATGACCACAGACAAGTGCGCACACCATCTTTGGACCTTGAGTGTGACGCGATCGGGAGGGGTAGGCGGTCGCGCTGGGGGCGGCGCGACACGGCTCGGGCCCGCCAGTGCCCCAACGGGGCCCTAGTTATTTTTCCTCCGCTTCAAACTGGAAAATGGCCCACTTCCCACTGGCGAAAACTCAGGAAATTTGGCAGGACGTCCGGGCCTGGTGAAACATTCGATATTCTGAAGTCGCCCAAACAATAAAATGCAAAATGGCTCCATAGCGCCCCCTAAGGTGAAAATTCACATGACGGCTGTACGCTTTGTCATATTGACACAAAAATTGACACACACATGTATCTCAATAAGATCTACAAAAAAGTCAGTGCGGGCGTATCTGTCAAATGTAAGGTTAAAGGGCTATTTCTCATTTTTTGCAGATCTGCACACATTGGAATTTCGCTAACTCCTCCGAAGGCTTTCGTTCCACCGGCACCACATTTGCTCAGGCCAATCTACACTCCATGGCCATTCAAAGTTGTACAAATCATGACGCTGCACCCCATGGTTTAGGTTCTAGGGGGCGCCAAAAATAACCCAAAAATCCACATTCTTAAAAGTTTTATAACTTTTTATTTTTGTCCTCACTGGCCTCCAAGTTTTCTAGGATGATGCAATGTCCAGCCATCAACACATTTGTGAAGGAATTTTTACTCCCCAAAAGAGCGCCCCCCCATGGCAGGACAAAAAAGTCAATTTTTTCTTGTCCCCTAAGGTGAAAATACACATTGTTGAATGTCACGCCTGTACGCTTTGTCATATTGACAAAAAATTTGACACACACGTGTATCTCAATAAGATCTAAGAAAAAGTCAATGCGCGCGTATCTGTAAAATGTACGGCTAAACGGCTATTTTGCATTTTTTGCCGATCCGCACACATTGGAATTTCGCTAACTCCTCCGAAGGCTTTCGTTCCACCGGCACCACATTTGCTCAGGCCAATCTACACCCCGTGGCCATTAAAAGTTATCAAAATCATGACGCTGCACCCCAAGGTTTAGGTTCTAGGGGGCGCCAAAGATAACACTAAAATCCACATATTTAAAAGTCTTATAACTTTTTATTTTTGTCCTCACTGGCCTCCAAGTTTTCTAGGATGATGCAATGTCCAGCCATCAACACATTTGTGAAGGAATTTTTACTCCCCAAAAGAGCGCCCCCCCATGGCAGGAGAAAAAAGTCCATTTTTTCTTGTCCCCTAAGGTGAAAATACACATTGTTGAGTGTCACGCCTATACGCTTTGTCAAAATGACACAAAAATTGACACACACATGTAACTCAATAAGATCTACGAAAAAGTCAATACGCGCGTATCTGTAAAATGTACGGTTAAAGGGCTATTTCGCATTTTTTGCCGATTCGCACACATTGGAATGTGGCTAACTCCTCCTAAGGCTTTCGTCCCACTGACACCAAATTTGCTCAGGCCAATCTACACCCCATGGCCATTCAAAGTTGTAAAAATCATGACGCTGCACCCCATGGTCTACGTTCTAGGGGGCGCCAAAGAGGACCCAAATATCCACATTTTTAAAGTCTTATAACTTTTTATTTTTGTCCTCACTGGCCTCCAAGTTTTCTAGGATGATGCAATGTCCAGCCATCAACACATTTGTGAAGGAATTTTTCTCCCCAAAAGAGCGCCCCCCATGGCAGGAGAAAAAGTCAAGTTTTTCCTGCCCATCGCTCAATGGCTCAAACGCATCGCTCTCTCGGCAAAACCGAAAGGAGGAGCAACTTGCCATTTGGATATATACTAGCTGTGTTTGTGCCCTCACTCATGGTCCAGACTTTTTTCAAAAAGGACATGGAGTTTGTCTGCAGCGAGCGTTTTGGTAGAAACTGCGCCTCCCATTCATTATAATGGTAAATGACCACAGACAAGTGCGCACACCATCTTTGGACCTTGAGTGTGACGCGATCGGGAGGGGTAGGCGGTCGCGCTGGGGGCGGCGTGACACGGCTCGGGCCCGCCAGTGCCCCACCGGGGCCCTAGTTCTTATTATTTTTCTGCCCCTTTGAACTGGAAAATGGCCCACTTCCCACTGGTGAAAACTCATGAAATTTGGCAGGACGACCGGGCCTGGTGAAAAATTCGATATTCTGAAGTCACCCAAACAATCAAATGCAAAATGGCTCCATAGCGCCCCCTAAGGTGAAAAATTCACATGATTGAGTGTCACGCCTGTACGCTTTGTCAAAATGACACAAAATTTGACACACACGTGTATCTCAATAAGATCTACAAAAAAGTCAGTGCGGGCGTATCTGTCAAATGTACGTTTAAAGGGCTATTTCGCATTTTTTGCCGATCTGCACACATTGGAATTTCGCTAACTCCTCCGAAGGCTTTCGTTCCACCGGCACCAAATTTGCTCAGGCCAATCTAACCCCCATGGCCATTCAAAGTTGTACAAATCATGACGCTGCACCCCACGGTTTACGTTCTAGGGGGCGCCAAAGATAACCCAAAAATCCACATTCTTACAAGTCTTATAACTTTTTATTTCTGTCCTCACTGGCCTCCAAGTTTTCTAGGATGATGCAATGTCCAGCCATCAACACATTTGTGAAGGAATTTTTACTCCCCAAAAGAGCGCCCCCCCATGGCAGGAGAAAAAAGGCAATTTTTTCTTGTCCTATAAGGTGAAAATACACATTGTTGAGTGTCACGCCTGTACGCTTTGTCATATTGAAACTAAATTTGATAATCACGTGTATCTCAATAAGATCTACGAAAAAGTCAATGCGCACGTGTCTGCAAAATGTACGGTTAAAGGGCTATTTCCCATTTTTGGTTGATTCGCACACATTGGAATGTGGCTAACTCCTCCTAAAGCTTTCGTTCCACCGGCACCACATTTGCTCAGGCCAATCTACACCCCATGGCCATTAAAAGTTGTACAAATCATGATGCTGCACCCCACGGTTTACGTTCTAGGGGTCGCCAAAGATAACCCAAAAATCCACATTCTTAAAAGTCTTATAACTTTTCATTTTTGTCCTCACTGGCTTCAAAGTTTTCTAGGATGATGCAATGTCTAGCCATCAACACATTTGTGAAGGAATTTTTTCTCCCTAAAAGAGTGCCCCCCCATGGCAGGAGAAAAAGTCAAGTTTTTCCTGCCCATCGCTCAATGGCTCAAACACATCGCTCTCTCGGAAAAAAACGAAAGGAGGAGGAACTTGCCATTTGGATATATCCTAGCTGTGTTTGTGCCCTCACTCATGGTCCAGACTTTTTTCAAATAGGACATGTAGTTTGTCTGCAGCAAGCGTTTTGGTAGAAACTGCGCCTCCCATTCATTATAATGGTAAATGACCACAGACAAGTGCGCACACCATCGTTGAACCTTGAGTGTGACGCGATCGGGAGGGAGAGGCGGTCGTGTTGGGGGCGGCGTGACACAGCTCGGGCCCGCCAGTGCCCCAACGGGGCCCTAGTTATAAACGTTTCTGTGAGACCAATAATAATTTTGTGATGACCACATGTTATGTCTAAATGACGATTTGTGTGGATGTAGTTGTGTTTATTAGCTAGCAAAGAATCAAAAGGTTATGAATGTGACATAGTGGTCCACTGGGACTATTACAAAGTAGCCTAGACATAATTCTTTACAGGTGGGAAAGGCAGAATTACTCCTTTTTTTTAACATACATAATATGATCTCCAGGCTGTTTCATTAGTAAAATATATCCTTAATTTAGATTTGTTGTGATACAGTAAATGCCTGGCTTTGTGTTTACAGAAATACCCCCTATAGTCCATGATGCCAGACTTTTGTGCGGCACATGGATACTCAAATGAACGTTCTGTCCAAACAAGAGCCCATGGAATCACCTTTCACTCATAAGAAATGACTTGAGGGACATATTTAGGATAATTGTTACTAACTTAGTTAAATTTGTACTTGTAAAATACAAGTTATTTTTACCCTGACTTTTTAGAAATGTTTCTACCATTTGTTTACATAATAACCATTGAATATTTCTTTTTCACATTTTTTAACATGTTACTGTTATTGACTTGTTATTTAAGTTTACATCATGGCATTCAAGCATAGGCTACATGAATTACCCCAACAATATCATAATTTAGCTCTAGTTGTGCCCCTGTTTTTCAAACTAAGGCTGCACCACATTGCTACAATGACTACGCTTGACAGAAGCTCACCAAAACAGTACTTTTCAAGGGTCAGTAGCTCAAATTGTCCGTGCACTTGTTAGGGCCCGAGCCAGCTGCAGAGCAGCCGGGCCTGGAGCCCTATTATTCCTGTAGTGGTTTTTCTTTGTTTCTTTCTTTAGGGCCCGAGCGTAGCTGCTGAGCAGCTGCGAGAGCCCTGTTGTTCCTGATGGATTCTTCTTTCTTTAGGGCCCGAGCGTAGCTGCTAAGAAGCTGCGAGAGCCCTCTTGTTAGGGCCCGAGCGTAGCTGCTAAGCAGCTGCGAGAGCCCTATTATTCCTGATGGATTCTTCTTTCTTCTTCTTCTTCTTCTTATTAGGGCCCGAGCGTAGCTGCTAAGCAGCTGCGAGAGCCCTATTATTCCTGATGGATTCTTCTTTAGGGCCCGAGCGTAGCTGCTAAGCAGCTGCGAGAGCCCTCTTGTTCCTGATGGATTCTTCTTTTGTTATTATTAGGGCCCGAGCGTAGCTGCTAAGCAGCTGCGAGAGCCCTCTTGTTCCTGCATGTTTCCTTCTTTCGTTATTATTTTTCCTCCGCTTTAAACTGGAAAATGGCCCACTTCCCACTGGTGAAAACTCAGGAAATTTGGCAGGAAGACCGGGCCTGGTGAAAAATTCGATATTCTGAAGTCGCCCAAACAAAAAAATGAAAAATGGCTCCATAGCGCCCCCTATGGTGAAAATTCACCTGACGCCTGTACGCTTTGTCAAAATGACACAAAATTTGACAAACATGTGTATCTCAATACGATCTACAAAAAAGTCAGTGCGGGCGTATCTGTCAAATGTACCGTTAAAGGGCTATTTCGCATTTTTTGCCGATCCGCACACATTGGAATTTCGCTAACTCCTCCGAAGGCTTTCGTTCCACTGGCACCAAATTTGCTCAGGCCAATCTACACCCCATGGCCATCAAAAGTTGTACAAATCATGATGCTGCACCCCACGGTTTACGTTCTAGGGGGCGCCAAAGATAACCCAAAAATCCACATTCTTAAAAGTCTTATAACTTTTTATTTTTGTCCTCACTGGCCTCCAAGTTTTCTAGGATGATGCAATGTCCAGCCATCAACACATTTGTGAAGGAATTTTTACTCCCCAAAAGAGCGCCCCCCCCCCATGGCAGGTGAAAAAAGTCCATTTTTTCTTGTCCCCTAACATGAAAATACACATTGTAGAGTGTCACGCCTGAACGCTTTGTCATATTGACACAAAATTTGACAATCACGTGTATCTCAATAAGATCTACGAAAAAGTCAAAGAGCGCGTATCTGTATAATGTACGGTTAAAGGGCTATTTCGCATTTTCTGCCGATCCGCACACATTGGAATGTGGCTAACTCCTCCTAAGGCTTTCGTCCCAATGACACCAAATTTGCTCAGGTCAATCTACACCCCATGGCCATTAAAAGTTGTACAAATCATGACGCTGCACCCCACGGTTTAGGTTCTAGGGGGCGCCAAAGATAACCCAAAATCCACATTCTTAAAAGTCTTATAACTTTTTATTTTTGTCCTCACTGGCCTCCAAGTTTTCTAGGATGATGCAATGTCCAGCCATCAACACATTTGTGAAGGAATTTTTACTCCCCAAAAGAGCGCCCCCCCATGGCAGGAGAAAAAAGTCCATTTTTTCTTGTCCCCTAAGGTGAAAACACACATTGTTGAGTGTCATGCCTGAACGCTTTGTCATATTGACACAAAATTTGACAATCACGTGTATCTCAATAAGATCTACGAAAAAGTCAAAGAGCGCGTATGTGTATAATGTACGGTAAAAGGGCTATTTTGCATTTTTTGCCGATTTGCACACATTGGAATGTGGCTAACTCCTCCTAAGGCTTTCGTCCCAATGACACCAATTTTGCTCAGGCCAATCTACAACCCATGGCCATTCAAAGTTGTAAAAGTCATGACGCTGCACCCCACGGTTTACGTTCTAGGGGGTGCCAAAGATGACCCAAATATACATTACAGCAGACAAAGTAGTTTTGCCCACTGAGTGGCGCCAAAGGGACTTGTCTATGGAGACTGGGAGTCACTATTGGCCGTTTTTGACTACTTTAGATTTTACCTTTATATTTCCTCTTAAAAAATTTTTACCTTGCCTTGCTTGGTATCATTTTTTTCAGCACAACCTCACCTGTGTGACTTTACAGTTATTTTATCATTTTCACATACTGTTTTTACACAATGGACCCAAATTCACACACAAAACATAATATCCGAGTGGAAAAAAGTAACATTTTTACTCTGAAAACCACAAATATGTGTGATGAACTGTTTTTAAAACTTAAACATCAAATAAAAATTTTAAACTTCAAAACATATGCAAATTTTAACAAAGAACATAGTAATTTACCTCTATTTACATCAAAATGCAGGCAATGGCCCAGGCGTTCTTTGTAAAATTATTTACAAAACACTGTATAGTCTCACAAATGTCACTTTTTATTTATGCCACTACAAAAACAACATGATGTAAATGATGCATGATGTAAAACATGATGTAAAAAACTTGTGTAGATCCTCCTCTATGTTAGTCCATGTGTAATTTTTCCATAATTCTTTGTTTTTTGCAGCATTTTTGTTAGTGTAACTGCAGATTGTGCTGACAGTGTCTATGGCAAAAAAACAATAAAACAAACTGAAAATGCCTCAACATGAACCCCTGGTGGTCTCTGAGGGTGAAACCTGCTAACTGCTGCAGCTCTGTCAGCTTCAGTCTCCCATGCAGAGCTCAGAGCGCATGTGTGGCTCTGCACCCTTAGCAGCGTTGCTAACTCCTCAGTAAGGAAAGCCTGCTTCATGTCAGAGTCTCTAAACTCCAGAAGAAGTCGATAAAAGTCCCTTTCTTTCAAAAAAAAAGTCGTTAGGGGGTCTGAAAAGTCATTGAATCTAACAACAAAGTCGCTAGGTTTGCAACTACGTGTCCCAGACTGCATCCCTGCTGAGAGTCCCTCCCTCGCTTCTCATGTTGCAGGAAGAACGTAAGCGCCCGCCCCTTGTCAATCAGTCATCATATAATTTTGGATTGGTTGTTGAGGTGAAGTTTTCCACCAATAGGAGAGATGTTGTGGTGTGTTTTTTTTTTCTTTTGGCAAGCCTTTTCCGCCTGTAAGACCTGTCGCTAATGTCTGCATGCTATGTTTTCCTGTCTCATACAGCGCGATCGAGCGCCGAACGTGATCAAAATAAGCAGAAAAAAAGTATCGCGGACATAATTTATCATAACTCTGGTTTTATTTGGCCTATCAACACAATTTAAAAACTGGTATATAGGTTGAGGTCCTCACTTTTGAGATAAGTTGAAACGGAGAGTCAACGAGGCTCCGTCTTGCAGCTACATCCGGTTAAATATGTCATGTGACTTGAACGCACACACATGCTGCGTCCGAACTGCCCGCTCGGATACTACATGCTACTGCTACGTGCTACTGCTAGATCCTACTCCTACATACTAAAAACGTTGGCCCAATTCGGACACACTAGACGAGCGGTGGGGAAAGACGACCCCCGCAGGCAGAGAGTAGGTACTGCGCCCGTGCAGACAGTGGTAACTGAAGCCCCTCATCTGCGGGCCTGGCTGTAGTACTGCAGCTGTGCAGTTTAATGATGGAATAAGTGAGCTTTACCTCCATGATTTCGCCACTTGCTCATAAAATGATTACTTGGGCAAATATGACACCATGACATGACAAAGAGATACAACCGCACATTTTTTAGGACAGTGTGTGAAGTTACATGAAACTTACATCTGTACTGCTGCGGTCCTGCCTGCTGCTGCTGCTGCTCCGACATGGTGCGCGCTGCTGCGGCCAGCCGGCGTTCGCGACACATTTAAATAGGCAGAGCGGCTGGTGGCGCTAGCATCACATGCGCTTCTACAACTTTTAAGAGGACGAAGAAGAAGCCCGCGGTGCATTTTGGGTCAGTAGCATGCCCGTAGGATGCACCGAGACCAACCTACAATGTGGGCGTGTCTAGCATCTGAAGTAGTATCTGAAGTAGCATGCTACTCGCTCCGGTGGCCAATTCGGACATGCTAGATACTACTACGACTACTACTTCGACTACTACTTGGCAATTCGGACGCAGCTCCTGACACACACACACGCACACACACACACACACACACACACTCAGAGTCTGGTTTTTAGCACCTGCAAAAACATGCTATTTACATATTTGACAAGAATGCAGAGGCTCCTTTTGCCCCTGAAAAAAATCAAATTTCAAACACAACTTGACTGGTCATTTCTCCAAAAGACAACCATGAAGCTCCATCCAAACCTGAAGCAGGTAGTTGGTGCATGTGTACAGTAACCTGAGGGGAGTGAGGTGAGTGCTTCTGAGGAGAACATGAGCTGTGAAGATTCACCTTGGAGCTAGAACAGAGACATGCACATGATTATACAGGGGCAGGGGCTCAAGTTTTTTCCAGTCGTTTATACAATATGGAAATTAATGTGAAATTAAAACACAAAGTATTAATAGAAAGGTAATGACTGTCCTGTGTAGGTGACAGTGATATCCAATAGGCTAGGCACTCACGAGGCTGGCTGTGGCAAGTGTAAGTGAAAGCAACACGCACTGGCAAGAAGAACAGCAAACGCCGATGAAGGAAAAGGGTCTTTGCAGTGATGGGCGTTACCAGAGAGGGCGATGGCCAGAGGACACAAATGGGACGGGGAGGCAGCACGTTTGGGGGGGGGACGCGACACGGCTCGGGCCCGCCAGTGCCCCAACGGGGTCCTAGTTCTTTCTTCTTTAGGGCCCGAGCGTAGCTGCTAAGCAGCTGCGAGAGCCCTCTTGTTCCTGATGGATTCTTCTTTTGTTATTATTATTAGGGCCCGAGCGTAGCTGCTAAGCAGCTGCGAGAGCCCTCTTGTTCCTGATGGATTCTTCTTTCGTTATTTTTCCTCCGCTTTAAACTGGAAAATGGCCCACTTCCCACTGGCGAAAACTCAGGAAATTTGGCAGGACGACCGGGCCTGGTGAAAAATTCGATATTCTGAAGTCGCCCAAACAAAAAAATGAAAAATGGCTCCATAGCGCCCCCTATGGTGAAAACTCACCTGACGCCTGTACGCTTTGTCAAAATGACACAAAATTTGACACACATGTGTATCTCAATAAGATCTACAAAAAAGTCAGTGCGGGCGTATCTGTCAAATGTACCGTTAAAGGGCTATTTCGCATTTTTCGCTGATCCGCACACATTGGAATTTCGCTAACTCCTCCGAAGGCTTTCGTTCCACCGGCACCAAATTTGCTCAGGCCAATCTACACCCCATGGCCATTAAAAGTTGTACAAATCATGACGCTGCACCCCACGGTTTAGGTTCTAGGGGGCGCCAAAGATAACCCAAAAATCCACATTCTTAAAAGTCTTATAACTTTTTATTTTTGTCCTCACTGGCCTCCAAGTTTTCTAGGATGATGCAATGTCCAGCCATCAACACATTTGTGAAGAAATTTTTACTCCCCAAAAGAGCGCCCC